TCGCGCTCGCCTCAGCCGAAGCTGATTTTGCCGTTTTTCCGCATCACTCCACTAAAATTTTCACCCCAGACAGTTTTGGACAATGTTGCCTGTTTTTCCGAGTTGATCCCGTGCACCAACCTCCCCCCCTTGATGTCCAATTTTCGTGTCATCCTCCGGGTTGAGAGCGTGAGCGGGTTGTCGTCCATCGAGTCCAATCCCTGCCTGCCCGCTTGCACTCGTTTGCCAACCGGAAAAAGCGAGAAAAATGGGCGCCGCCTGGGTTTTGCAGGAGGCCCAGCTCCCTCTTGACCCGGGCCCTAGCTCGCGAACACGGTTATTTATTGCTGTTTGGGCTTTGGCGGTGGGATTACCTGGAAATTGGCCTGTTTTGACTCTGCTAGCGATTGGTAAATTATTATGAAGACCTGGTGGGGCGCAGCGAGAGCAAAATACCGACCTTCAAAATGCTAAGATGCCAAAATACCGACAGCCATAATCCCGACAAATAAAATTGGGGCAGGCAAAACTCCTTACCTTTTTTTGCTTTTTTTGTCGGGATTTTGTTCAGTCGGTTTTTTGCCTGTCGGGATTTTGGCTGTCGGGGCTTTGACATTTACAAATTATCTCTGTCGGTAATTTGGCGTTTTTCGTTCTAGTACGTTTCAGTACGTTCCGTAGTTTATCTATCAGTATACGTTACTGACGTTCTACGCTTTACGTTCTGTCCATTATTACGTGCTTTCTGGCCCTTCAAACGACAATGCCACCACCCCTAAAAATTCTCCTCGTCGTTCCGCGCTAGGACCAATTTCCAAACAACCGAAACAACCAGAAACCCCCGCGGCCCTTCTGGCACCCAGGCGTTCTGTAGTTCCGGCAATTTCGGGGTGGGCCATTCGCACTTTTTTTTGGCAAGCTTCCAGGGTGGCAATGATTTTTTTAGAGGTAGATGGAAATAAACGAGCAAATTTAAGGCGAAAACTCGCTAGCCAATTTTGCTGGCTCGCTTGCACGCAAATTCTTCGTGACTGATTTTGAAAATAAATCCTTTTTTCTGCAACAGCACCTCCACCCTCACCTGAATAGCCTCAATAGACGAATTGTGTGCTGTGGTCAGGAGAATGGGGGCTCTAATTATGGCATTCAGCGGCGGTCTGATGGCTATTCAACGGGGGGGGTGCCATTGTTTGCACATTTCAATAAGCGGCTGATTTCGGGGCAACCCGTATCGCGGGTCGAACAGCACTCTATGATATCATGCTTAAGCTGGCGAGGGTGGGGGTTGTTTTTGTGTTATAGGTTTTACTAGGTACTCCCAAAGTCTTTCGAACGAAAAAATTGGCTAGACGTTACTTTACCCACGTCCGCCAACCGTGAGTCCCAAAAGTTTTTCGCTAGAACTTTTTTATTTTACATTGTTTTGGGAATTAAATTTTTGAAAATAGCTTCTGCAAAATTGGATTTTGTCGAACTATCCTAATTTCGAAGTCTTTTTGGAAATTTGGAGACAATTATGCAGCGGCAAAGCACGAAAAATGCAAATTGCCGTTTTGCGGCTTGTCCTCTAGGCCTACCATACAAAAACACGGCCCTAGACCGTAGTGATATCATGCCCATGCCCCGGAAAACAACCCAAAACAAGGCCGTGCACTTGGACGAGGTAGCAGCGCGTCCACCGCAAACATTATCGTCCGCCTCGCACGTTCCAGCTGAGCGCAGTTCACCCGGGCGGATGTTGAGAGATCTGGAGAGAGAGAGAGAGAGAGAGAGAGATCCAGAGAGTGCGAAAGAGTGTCTCTCTGGGTTTTCGGTTCATCGGTCTATCCGTCTGTGCACCCGCGCACCCGCGCTGAGCACAGTTCATACCAAAAATAGTGGGTGATCGATTTTTTTTTATCGGCTGCTCCAAAAACTGAGCTTAGGCCTAAAAGGAGAATTTCGGCCTTAATACCGAAAACCCAAATCGCGACATCGATAGTTTCGCCGGCAATGCCGACACCACTATCGACACCGCGTCGTGCTTCTGGATGTCGGGTCGGGATTTTCGTTTCCGGTTTTTCCGGACTTTGGTTAGTGAGATTTCATACTTTCGGGGTTAAGGTTGTCCGATATTTCATGTCGCGGTTCGAAATTTTCTGTCGGCATGGCCCCTCCCGCTCCATACCACCGTCTCTACCTTTTCCAAGGTGTCAAAAATGCCTGTACATTCTGCCCATTCCAGAACTTTGCACCCCCCAGAATCCCATAAAAACAAGCCCCGGCACCCTGTCGCGAAGCCGTGTTGCATCACCCTTCTGAGACTTCCTTTATGGGGCCGTAAAGCCAAGAATCCGAACCGTGTGCCCTTATCAACATCACCAATCAGCCCCCGGCTTTTCGTGTAATTCACCCAAAACCGGGGTTGGTGTGCCGGGTATTTTGGTGTCGCGAGGATGAATCCGGAGCGTGAAAGATGGGGCTTTGGGGTGGTGATGAATCTCCCTCACATTTTCCACATCCTCGATGAAGATGATTGGCTTCCAAAAATAGAGCTTCAAATCCGTCTGGATTTGGTAACGAAACGGCTCAAGCGCGAGAATAGATGATTAAGCCTAAGCCTAAGCCTAAGCCTAACTTAGCCTAAGTGCCTTAAGCCAAAGCCTAAGCTTAAGCCTAACTCAAGCCTATGCCTAAGCTTAGGCCTAAGCCGAAGCCGAAGCCGAAGCGTCGACTTTGTCGCCTTTTCGTCGCTGCGAAGTTACTAGCGTGATCCAACCATTTTCAAGTGCCGCAACTTGTAGGCACCCCCCGCATTCTCCGCATTCCCAATTCCCCCAAAAAATGTTGCCACTCCTATATCCGGGGCGGGGCCGGGTCAGAAATCAAGAGATTTCGAGGCGGGTTACGGTCGGTGTAGCGGAAGCCCGGGTCGGAGCCGAAGCTCCGCCCCCCAGCCCCTCCCCCCATACTCGGGCTCATTCTCACGCAAACACCCCACACCACCCCGGCCCCGCGTCCGGTTTCTCCGTCTTTTTGTGCCTTCCCCCTTTTTCGCCTTTCTCAGGGCCATTCGCCGCGGGATTAACCCCTGGGTAATGACTTTCCAGATAAGGGGCGCCTCTCTTTTCATCCCCCACCCTCACCATCCCGTCACCTTTTTCTGGGGTGAGAGGCTCTTACATGAAATGAAATGAGGGGCGGCTCATGATCTTTTGGACCTGGTGGGCCATTTGGAATTCTTGTCGTCTGGCCTCGGCCGTATCCGTTTGAACCCTGTTGCGTTCAGATTACGAAGAACTAAATTTTTGCCTGGCGCTACACTCCGTTCCAATGCACGGACTACCTATCAGATCTCGAATTTTCAGAATCTCGAATTTTCCATAGTAGGCATCAACAATAACAGCTTCAGGAATTTAGCATCCGGCCTATGCAAATTTCGATATCCTGAAAATTCGGTATCCTGAAATTGCGAGATTCTAATTTTCGTGATTCTGAAATTTCGAGACTCTAATTTTCGAGATTTTGATAGATTCCCCTATGAACTCTAAGGCCGTGCCAACCAACCAGCTTATTTTGGCTTCTTTGATTGGTCGTAAATCATCGCTTGAACCCTCCATCTAATCACACTTCACCTTGCTATCCCAAAACATTTGCCACTTCCGCTCCTCCCAGATCCGAACATCATGACCCCCGCCGTTTGAAGTTTTTGCAAAGTGTCGGGCGCCTGGATAAACAGTGGCCGGGCCCGGCGGCACATTGCTGGCCCCACATTCCCGCCACGAGCTATCTATTAGCCGGTGGGCCCTGGATGGACCCAGATCCCTTGGCCCCTATCAGCCACATGGCCACTCACTCCCCACACAACACATGTCCCCTTGCGACACCTTGTCCTGGGAAGAACGAGCCTGCTTCCCCGCTCCGGGTCAGCTTCTTCTAATGGCACGAGGTCACTCGATCAAGCTGGTGCAACCCGAAATGAGCTTCTTTGCTTGGTTCTTTGGCGATGCGCAATGTCTTTGTGAAATATTTAAAATTTTTCCTAAGCCTAAGCCTAAGCCTAATCCTAAGCCCAAACCTTGGCCTAAGCCTACCGACAAGCTGAGCGATAACCCTTATGCTGATCGATTTTCGCCTCCCCACGTTCCGTTTTGCTCTTCCAATTGCAGCTCCAGCTTTTTACTCCTACCCCTCTCTTAATCCATCTCCCATTTCACCAACTCGATGAAAGTCCAACAGCAAACATACTCGTTTTTGTCCCGAGTTCCGCTCGGCTCTTGTCTACTTTCCCTTCCGCAAAAAGATCAGGGACACACACATGATTTATCCCCCCTCAATCCACTGGTTGGCGGGGTCACAGCGAGTGGACACATGTTCGCCTCATCCCTTTCGGCAAGGTGGCCCACCGGGTCGCGGGAATGGAAAAAGCCCCCCATGTTTTCCCAGCATGTCTACGCTTCCGCGATCTGTGCCCTCATAATTTGCAGGCCGGAGACGCACTTTCATGTTTTTGAAGCTATCAATTTCCTGGCGTTTGCCCCTTGCCCGCACTTTTTCAAGGAGGAGCTTCGGCGTCTACGTCTGAACATTTTTCATTTAATGACTTCCTGTTGCCTGGGAGATATAGGGTTTCTCCGGTATATAAGCCTAAGCCTAAGCCTGGGCCTAAGCCTAACCTACTTGTAAGCCTAAGCCTAAGCCTAAATCCTAAGCCCATTACCGAAGCCTTATTTGAGCATAGCCAAGCTCGTCTCTTTTACGTCCTGTTGCCGATTGTGCTCAGATCGATTCTCTCGATTTCCAATGCAATACGGCTGGGAATCGGCGGTGTCCGGGCGAGCGTCTTTTTCCGATTTTGGTTTCCATTCAATGGGTCTCGTGGTATGCGTCTTCTTTTCGGCCTATGCCGACAAGGCTCGAAAAATTCTGCTCCGGGCATGCAATTTTCCGAGCCGCTTTGTGAGGCTGTAAGTGCTTGACAAATCTCTCTCTCTCACTCGCTCTCTCACTCACTTGCATATAATATTCACCCTCTATTTAGCATGCTCGGGCTCAAGTTCCGAAAATTGGTCTCCTTCATCAAGGGCGAGAAGCAGAAGCGCAACAAGACCCTCAGCCTACGCGAGAAGAGCAAGCACAAAGCGGAAAATGGCGTTGAAGCCGAGCTCCCCGAGAATGTTTGGTGAGTCGTCATTTCTGAGTTGATATTGAGAATTTTAGGCAAAAGATTTTCGATCACTCTTCCCCGTACGATGTCGCCCGCTGGCGGGGGGTGAACAAGAAATTTGACGGGATGGTCAAGGTATGGGATTTGGTTATTTTTAATGCTAATTTTTGGCTTGCAGAAGCGCTACGAGACGATCCTGTACCTCGATGTGTGGAGAATGAACCTCAACGAACTACTTCCGGCCCCTTACGATAATGATGGTATGTTTTTCCACAGCCCGGTAGCGTATCGGGTGACTCAGGGAGGGGACAATTGCCGGTTGTGCGATCGCTTTACACATCCACCTATTGACGGACAGACAGCCACGTACGCACACCTGGGCATGAGCGCTTTTCGGCAGTTGATTGTGAGCGGGAAGGTGTGAAGCCTAGCCGACATTAGTCGCATGCAAGGATTCGGGAGTATACGAAAGACACCAAGATCATCGTAGAAACGAGAAAAACGCCAAAATACCGACAGCCAAAAACCATAGATTTTAAAACGATTTATGGGTAAAACGACCAGAAATATCCCATTTTGGCTGTCGGGATTATGGCTGTCGGGATTTTGGCCGTCGAGATTATGGCTGGAATTCTCGTAGAAACGATTGCGTTTTCAGGCGATTTCTTCCGACACCCCACCGCCAACCTGCTGATGCACGTGGAGGCACACAGCGCAATCATCGTCATCCACCACGAATGGTCGCTGAAGGACGTCGTCAAGCTATGGCAAGGACTTCAAGCCTTTCGCACGACCGCCCAGACAATCATGGTAAGTTTCTTGGGACATCAGACTTTTCTGCTACCTCTGCAACTATAGATCCTGTATTTCAGTTGGATGCCTCGGTGTTTGAGTTGACGATGGCCGGCCTGGCACTTCGCGATATCTCAAGGTGAGCCATCACGCAGATTTCCTGGTATCTAGTTGGCCGGAAATGGCCTCAGACCCCGGTTCCCCAGCCCTGAAAGGGCCATTGAATGCGGAAGCGTGAGAACGCCACCAAGTGTATTTTTATAGCGATACGTAGGCGAACATAGAACGAATGATCAAAAAATCTTCAAAAAATTTACGCGGATAATTTCAGATGGTTCACCTTTATGTGCTCGCTCACTCGCTCCAAGGAGGATCGTGTCGTGTTGAAAACCAAGCCTGGCCGATTTGCCGACGAGCCCTTCTTCCCAAAAGTGAAAGAGGTTGGTGGGGAATAAGCTGCACGAATTCCAACCATAATCCCCATAGCTCAAGTTCGGACGGCCAAAATACCGACAAACCAAAATCGCGACAGCCCAAAGTCCCGACAAATCAAAAACTCGACAAATCAAAATCCCGACAAACAAAAATACCGACAGCCAAAATGTGATCTTTCCGGTCGTTTTCCCATAAATGGTTTTTTAAATCTGGGGTTTCTGACTGTCGGGATTATGGCTGTCGGTATTTTGAATGTCGGCATTTTGGCGTTTTCAAGCTAAACACTGTAGTGTTAAGCCCCGTTTTAAAGCAACAGTCTGCGCCGCAGACTCTTTTTTCTGTAACTCCTAATCTACGATCAGCTAGTGGGGTGAGAGGGAGCGGAAACCCGATACGCTGGCAACTAAAGCTCAGGCCGAACAAGAACATCTTTCAGCTGACCATCCGCACGACCTACGCCGAGTTGAAGCAGTTGAGAAGGGTGCCCGAGTACGGTGTGCCAACGTCACACCTCTTCGACGAGAGTGCCCTACAACTTTTGAGGTTGGTCATCAAAAAGGGCAGATATTGACGAGACCAAAAGACTCTCCAAATCTCCTTACGAAAGAAAAGACAAGATGCAACCTTAATCTCCAAAATTCCAGACTGAACATCGCCAACGGGAAGCAGACGACATCCCACCAGAATACCCGCTGCACCCCGTTCCTCATCTACTTCAAGCGCTGGCTGAACACGTCGGGGATGGGCGAAAAATACTGCCAGCAGTATAGCTGATCGAACGTCGGCGTTTCGTTACCACTTCTCCAATTCCAAATCCGCTTAGGACCAAAAAGCGCACAGAGTTTGTTGTGATTTGTTTTCGGTATGCAAATTCTAGAATTTTTCCCACTTTAAATGGCCGATCTTGAGGGGCGTCAGCTTCTATTTCAAATTTCCTGTTTTATTCAGCAGCGTCGCCCCTCTAAATAGTCATAAAGCGCGGGTAGCGTCTCCCCACATCATATAGTCACCATTCCAACTCCGATTCCGGTCAATTCCCATGTTTTTTGTCGGCTCAAATTTGGGTGCTTTCGCGTTATCGGGGGAGGGGACCGAAATTCTTTTGTATAAGTCTTGAAGCGCCTAATAAGTTAATAGAAAATGATTTAATAGTGTTTTTAGTGATATAAATATATTTCAACTAAAAACTTTCTAAAAATTTTTAAAAAGTCGAAATTTTGGTCAAAGCGGTCATTTTCGTTCGAAAAATCTATATTTTTGCGTTTTTTCATGCAATTTTGTAAAGTTTTTAGGTTTAAAAATGGTAAAAAAAAACAATTTAGAAACACTTTCAACATTTATATTTGAAAAATTGATCCTAAGGTCCTCCCCCCCGATAACGCGAAAGAACCGAAATATGTGCCGAGCCATTGCGGGTTCACCCACAAATCGATTGCAATCCCATCCAATCCCCCAGCCCCTTTTTTTGATGGACTTTCACCTCGGTTCAGCCCAGACCATTTCCCCCCATCCTCCCATTCCTTCGTTTGGCGGCTCCGCAAAAATGGCATCAATCGGATGCGAGCGCGTGTTTGTGAGATACCGGTATTTGGGCCAGTTTTACGGCTCCCCCCCTTCCTTCCTTCTACATACACTTTTCTGTCCCCCAAATCCAACGCGAATGATCTTTGTACATAGGCATTTGGGATGAATAAAACATCCGGATAAGGAGCTGCTCGTCAATTCGCATACAAGTTAAAGAACACAACACGAGAGCAAGGGGAGAACGCGAAAACCCCGACATTTAAAATCTCGACAGCTAAAAACCCGACAGCCAAAATGCCGATAGCCAGAAACCCTTAATTTTCAAACCATTGATGGGTAAAACTACCTGAAATAGCACATTTTCGCTGTCGGGATTACGGCTGTCGGGATTTTTGCCAGTCGAGATTTTGAATGTCGGAATTATGGCTGGAATTCAGTGTTTCGTGGAGGCCTACTTCGGTGGAAAATCATCCGAATTATCACACAAACAAAATCACACAAGAAACAGCAATGTTGAGGAGTTGAAAGAAGATCATAAAGATAATATCGAGTCGATCAAAAATGCGCGTCCATTGCGCCGCCAGATACTCGTCGGAGCGCAGTGATTTCAGGAAATTGTTCACTGCATAGATGTAATCGGATAGCGTTGTGTGTCTATAATTTGTAATCGAAAAAGGAAGTGGTTCTTGGGATTATCCGGGGGAGCTTACCGGCGGGAAACCAACCTTTTTAAAATTAAAAAATGATTAGTGGAAGTGTTTCTAAATTGTTTTTGCTATTACTAAACGGGAAAACCTTAAAAATTTTTATTGAAACTACAAAAAATATCGATTTTTCGGCAAAAACAGGCCGTTTTTTGACCAAAATTTTACTTTTTCAACATTTTTTAACGCTTTTAGATAGTTTTTCCAGCGTAAATACAGTTATATATTGCTAAAAACACTATTAAAACACCTTATATTAACTTACTAGGCATTCATAGGGTCATACAAAAAATTTCGCCCCCCCCCTCCCCGGTATTGCAAAAGAACCACGAAAATAATTACCGTTGATCGTATTGCTGCGACATTTCCCGCTGCTTAATTTTCCTGTCGTAGCGCCGGCAGAGAAGACATCTTCAAAACCGCTGGATTCCCAGTGTCTTCAAATCTCACCTGAGGAACCTCGGCGGGTTCCACCCATTCGTGGTGGCCCTCTCGTGCAGATACATGAACACACAAGTCACCAGTACTGCCACGGAGGTCAGTATCATTTCAGCCAAAATAAAGACTCCTGGAAGTTTTGGTTTTCCGCAGATGTTCAAGCTCCACCTAGCCTTGGCAGTTTCTTGTCCTTGGGCATTGCCGCGGAAACGGTTTGCAGGATCATGGAGATGGCGAGCAGGGTGGAGACGCCGAGGTTTACCTAAAAATACACTGAAACTTGGGAAGGGACTTACTATACCTTTTCGTATCGTAGCCCAGTGGCTTCGGATGGGATGAAAAGACCGAAAAGGCAAAGTGTGCAGCAGATAAAACACGGTAAAATTAGTACCATCACGTAGTACATGTATTTTCGGCGTAGGCTTAGCGTGAATACAATCTAAACAAATTGATTTGATAACTCGGTACTTCGGCAGTAGCGGGGGGACCAAACTTTTTATATCGTCTAGAAATGCCTAGTAACTTAATAGAAAGTTTATAAGTTTAATGGGGTTTTTCATAATTTATAACTATATTTGAACAAGAAAACTATCTAAAAACTTTAAAAAGTAGAAATTTCGGAAACAAATTGTCATTTTTGATCGATGAATCGGCATTTTTTATATTGTTTAACACCAAGTTGTAAAGTTTTCACGTTTAGGAATAGTAAAAAACCATTTAAAAACACTTCCACTATTTATATCTAAAAAACTGCTCCTCAGAAAAAAGTTGGTCCCCCGATAAGGCAAAAGAACCGAAAGGTCTTATTCCAAATTTTTCCTAGAGATCTTACCTCATAGTACGAAGTCCCATCGGCATACCCATCGTCCAAGTGCACATATCCATCCAACGAGAGGTACTCCCATTCGGTGTTCCCCTTAAAACATTTCACCTATCTTTTATACCTTTTTACTGACCTTAAAAGTAGTCCCTTCCGGATCCCAATGGTCCACCGGGAGAATGAGGGTCATCTCGTCTTTTGTGTAGACCCAAGGCCCTGAATTCCATATTATAACTCTTACACCTACTCACCCATCTTAAACACACAATCCTGACGGTCAAAAGGAAAATCGGCGACCGCCAGCTCGCAGGGTATCGTCAATACCTAGAACCTAAGCCTAAGCCCAAGCCTAAGCCTAAGCCTAAGCCTAAGCCTAAGCCTAAGCCTAAGCCTAAGCCTAAGCCTAAGCCTAAGCCTAAGCCTAAGCCTAAGCCTAAGCCTAAGCCTAAGCCTAAGCCTAAGCCTAAGCCTAAGCCTAAGCGCTTTCAAACCTGTGGCATGGATTTATTTATGGTGCCGTTGGCGGTCACCTCCACCTTGCGATCGGCACTATCCAACAAATTGTCGGTGCTGATTCTAAAGCAATTTTCTTTTCAAAGAATTCGAACTAACGCCGTAAACACGGACACATCCGGAATCCACACTTTCAGTTCGGGAACTTTGATCGCGCTGGGCTGACTGAAATTTTCGCCTTTTTTTAACAAAAACTTTGAGTTACCCGCTCCAAGAAATGGTTGGATCGATCCAGGATACCGCAAAGTCAGAGCTGTAAAATTCACAATTTCCGTTTTTTCGGGCTTACCTAAAGGTGATATGCTCCTCTAGCATGTCGATCGATAACAAAATTAGGTACAGTGGTGTTAGCAGGACGGCCGTTGCCTAATTTCAGCACATTGGATTTGTTTTAAGCGGTATACCTGGTTTGAGGTATCGGTTGGTCGGAATTGGCTGCTATGACCGGTAAACACTTCTTTATAGATTGTATATTCATTTGTTTCAACTGAAATTAAAGAATGATCTCTACCCCACCACCTGCGCGAACGTACCTTCTTCCAAATAAAGCGAAAGTGTGATAAAAATAATTGCCGCCGCGCCGGACCAATTTGCTGCCACCATGCAACGTTGCAGAATGAGGCAACCGCGCGTTTTGTTTCCAAAAACAGCTCAAGAATGAGCCGGGCGCCTGAATTTCTGACGACCGGCGACGCCTCCGCGCAGCCGGGGCGACCGGCTTGGCGGCCATCTGTGTGCTGAATAGCCGACAGAGTCGATGTTCAGAGAATCCGTAACGGGCCCGTTCGGATGCAAGAAATCGAAAACGGTTCTTTCGCATTATCGGGGGTGAAGGGGGAAACCGATTTTTTGTATAAGTTAGAAGTGCCTGTAGCTCGATAGAAAGGGAATTAAAAATGTTTTTAGTAATATATCACTATATATCAACTAGGAAAACTATCTAAAAACCTTTAAAATTGTCGAAAAAGCAGAAATTTTGGTGAAAAATTGGTGTTCTGCAATCCTACTATATATAAAAAAATAGTCTGTGTGTGTGTGTGTGCCACTTTGCATGCAACTTCCGTCAGGTTGTTGCAATAGTATCTTAATAAGGGGAGTAGTTAAAGGCATGTTTGATACGTCATTAGGTGCGTATTGGTCTGGGGATGACTGCACGCTAATAAAATTTTGAAAAATTATATGATTTCGACGTTAAATTTAAGTTTTTGTTGAAAAATCGGCCAGCCTCTTTGTTAGGAAACAATTAGCATACGCCGGAAGTTGCGGTAGCCTATATAAGGGAAGATAAGTAGCGTTTCTCATTTTTGTGATCGAAAATCGTGAGAATTATGCAAAGTGAAGAATATCATGGGATCACACCGGGCCAGGGTTGAAAAGTCGCGAAGCGGCTTTTCAACCCTGGTTTTTGACTAAAAATGTATAAAGTTTTCACTTTTGGGTATAGTAAAAATCATTTAGAAACGCTTCCACCATTTTTATTGAAAAAACTAGATGCTAAGAAAAAGGTATGTAATATCTGCGTACTGTAGGCGGAGCATCAAAATTTTGTCAGAAAATGTCGTTTCGGACGAAAAAATTTCCTCCAAACTGTAACCTGTGATTCCATACACAAAAATTGCTAATTGACCATCTGAAGTCTTTACTTCTTCTCCCCCCTATTTTTTCCGAGTTCTGCCGCTTCCCAGGTGTGGCCGGGGGAGACATCAGGATGGCCCATCCCCCAGCCGCCACCCAATCTTTTCAATTTCCCCCGGGGCGAGTCGCGTAAAACGGATTTAAAGCTTCTGCCCTGGGCCCATGTTTTATGCCCTTTCCACCCCCATCGGCCGCCCACTCGATCTTTTGCGCTTGGCCACTTCAAGCCTTGGCGGGGGGTCGATGGCATGTTTTGAGCATCATGCCATTCTGTGCCTCAACACTCTCGCTCAATCATGGAATTTCTAGTGCCGAGATCGACCGGGATGACGGTGATGGTGATTCCTGTATCTCAGCACAAGCTCATCAAAATCCGGAAGCATAATCGGGATAAGTTGACGCGTGCGGCGTTGTACTGCTCGACGGCCGGGGCGCTTTGTAATGTTTTGGGTGAGTTCTGGCGAAATACAGTAATAATCAAAATTTTAAATGTCGAATTTTTCGTTATTCTAATTTAAAAATGACTTAAATTTATATATTTCGAAATTTAGGTTACCAATTTTCATAATGCCGAAAATTAGAATATCGATTTCATAACGCCGAAATTTAAATATTTTGAGGTTCGACCTGAAAAAAAATCTTTAAAAGTGGCCCAAATACTAATCAAAAGTTCTCTAATCTTGAATTTCGACGTAGCAATTCCGGCATCATTGAATTTCGACAGTATGAAATTGATGTTTAGACCTTTGAATTACCACAATTTTGAAATAATCTTTTAGGTAGCAGCACAAATAGCTGGATTTCTACTTCTGAAGTTCTTAAATATTATATGGCACCAAATGCGACCGAGGTGAGCTGTTCGTGTCCTGACAGGCGCATCCTTGACGCAAAAATTATTATTCTTGGAAAGCAATGAATTTTACATCACTAAATGACGTAAATCGTGACTAAATTACAGTACCTAAAAGATTACGACGCCTTCGGGAACCAGCCCGTTTACATCAAAGAGGCCACGCTGGGCCCCTGGCAATTCTGCTGGTCCGATCGTAAGTAATACTTTACTGCCGATACCTTTAAGGCAGCCTCCATCGAATTCACCTGCCACTCCGTCAACTATTTCACCGATGAGATGGAGTCGGACGTCACGACAATGGTTCAGCGTCCGTAAAAATTTCGGCTCTTTTGAAAGCAGGGTTTAGAGGCGGTTCGGAAAGCCGCGTTTTTCATGGTGCTCGGCGTGGTTTTGGATATTTTGGGTGAACTATTTTAGTGCATAATTTATTTAGAAAATATAGGAACTCTTATTGGGTGGCTATGCTCGCGTCGTAAGAATCCGTACGGTTGGTTACTGTGCTCATCCATACTTCATATATTTGCCGGTAATTTTTTTTCCGGAAGTCAGTGGTATAAAGGTTCTGGACTGTTAGCGGGGGGGATTTTAGCAAGGTGGAACCACTTTTTGTTTTTCAACCTATAGCTCATATTCCACCCGTTGATGATATATTATGCATTTTTATAGTATTTTCAGTAGTTTTTAATTGCTAAAAAGTTACAAAAATATTTTTAAATTTTGAAAATTCGAAAATTTAACTTTTCCTGGTCTTTTCCCTATATTTTTTACAAAGAAGTTAAAATTTTCGAAAATTTTTATTAATTTTATATTATTTTTATAGCTAAAAACTATATAAAATGTTCTAAAAATGGTCTATATTTTGTTATGGGGCCGTATTTGGTTTCCCTCTCCTCGCTAAAACCCCCCCGTTAATAGTCCAGAAACGACATAAATTCGTTTAGGCATGACCAATTTTTGTTGCATTATCGTTTACATGGCCGCGGTTTCAAAGGAGGTAGCTCCTGAAAGTTAGAAAGCTGACGAAAGTTTCGACAGGTCGGCAACAAAATTTATCCAGCTTCCGAAATGGACGACCCGCTGTTCCACTACCACTATGGGTTCTCCTTCATTTTGGTGAAAGTAAAGTTGCAGATATTTCAATAATATCGAAATTCATTTTCAGTTAAGCTTCCTCCTCACGGAGACGGCTGCTCTCCTGATGGTGGTGGTCTTCATGGCAAAACGAGATGAGAGAACATTCCATCGCTACAAAATGCGATCGTTGATGAATTTCAAGAAAATCACGCCGGTATGCAAAAACTGGGTAGATAACACTACGTCACAGGAAGGAGATCTGAAAACGGAAGTCCCAGAGTCGACCAGTGGCCATGGTCATGCCAGATTTAATTCGAGGAATCGGTACGTTTTCCAGAATTTTAGGAACTATCAGAGGTATCAGTTCTGGACTGTTTACGGGGGGGGGTGGACAAATTTGACTCTGTGCTTATCCACGACCCTATAAGAAAATTTAAACTGTTTTTATGGCACTTTATATAGTTTTTAGATATTGAAACGACATAACAAAAAAAGGAAATTGACGAAAAATTACCAAAAAGGCAAAATTTTCGAATTTTCAAAATTTAAAAAGTATTTCTTTAGAACTTTTTGGCAATCCAAAACAAATAAAAAGACTATAAAAATAACATACTATATCATCAACTGGCGGAAAAACAGAGATTGTTCCCCCCGCCGCTAACAGCCCAGAACCCAGTTCAATTGATTTGTTTAGGTCTTCGGTGATGGGACAAAACCAAAACCGGCCCTCGCTCGACAACATCTACCAACCCCCGAGCAGGCTCTCCGTCTGCAGCAACTTTGGCCGATTGACACCCAGGTCTTCTACAGCCTCCATGGTTGGTCCTTAAAATATCATGCCACAAAAATTTGAGGCTTCTCCAAAGCATAAAGGTGATATCATTTAGCGTGCAATCAGCCGGCGAACGAGCAAGGGGGGACCGGGACGCTTTGCTCACCACCGAGCACCCAGCCCCCAATTCCTGGACGTCGATGAGATCAGGCGGCGCGAAGTAGACGATGAACTTGCACAAGTCGTCATTTTGTAATTTTTTAACTTTATTCATGTCAGGTTTCCGAATAAATTTTCGTGGGTTTTAGTAGACACAATTGTTGTCTGCGAATTGCCGGATCTGGCGGTTGAAGTACATCATGTGGGCAGAGAAGTTCAGCTCCAAGTGACCGCCGGAGCATTGCCTAGATGCCAAATGGAAACTGTAGCGGGGTATCACCCACTTATCCTCATCCCCATTGCAAACTGTGTATGCCGGCTCGCTCATGTCATTTTTGTACCAGATCTAAAACCAGCGGCATACAGGCTTTCGAATGGTGCCAAAATCATCCCGATATGACCGTTCTACGGACCGCTAGAGGGGATAGCTTTTTTTTGAGATACCCTGTAGTCAGTACGTTTTAAGTCTTGACATCTCTACCTCGGTCTCATGATGCTGGTAGCCCATATTTAGGAACGGGACATGCGGCACAATGTCATCGTCGTGGATGACCCGGAAAGCCGTTGGAAACTTTAAAAAATTCATTGCTTCCCAAGCTAAACACAAAAACATACCAGCTGATCCATCTGCGCGGCCCAGACTGGGTTTCCGGTCCGCGGCTCTCCGAAATCGACCAAATTAATCTGAGCGCAAATTTCTAGTTATTTTTTGTTCCCAACCTGTGGGGCTGGCACTAATCCATTATTGGCCAAAAATCCGGCGCAAAGTGCGGCCATGGCGGCACCCAGCGAATGTCCGGTGAGCTGAAGCGAATGGTTTTATAGGCAAGCGGAATTTCGATTCCCACCACGACTTGGTATTTTGGGTACATGCTGCGTAGCGTTAGGAAATCATCCTTGATGCCTCCATTCCAGACTTTCAGGAAAGCATTGTAAAAATACGCATTGACCAGCCCTCCACCCGGGAAAGCGACCTGAACATTTAGTTGGGGCGCGGTGCAAATAGACAAACCATTTTCTCGAAGACCGTGTCGACCACTTCCCACTCAACCTGATTTTCCATACTTCCCCTAAAAATGAAATTGGCAATTAGGATTTGAAGGGAATAGAAACAGAAAAACTTAGGTTCTGGACTGTTAGCGGGGGGGGGGGGCAATTTTTTTTTGTGATTCTCTACGGCCCTATAACAGATCATAAACGATTTTTATACAATTTTACATAGTTTTTGGATATAAAAATAAAATCAAGTATTTGGTCAAAAATGTATAGAAATGTCCAAACAAAGCAAAAATTTTCGAATTTAAAAAATATTTTTTATAACTTTCTAGCACTCAAAAATAACTAAAAACATTAAAAAATACATCCAGAGGTATAGGTATGGGTGGGAAAACACAAAGTGTTTCCATCTCCTGCTAACCCCCCGCTAACAGTTCAGAACCAAAACTTCCAAACGACCAATCCAAAAAGCACCTGAATACGACAAAAATCGTAGTCTGCGCCGGGGAAATGGCGGTAAAACCAGAGCAGCCATCTTGCAAGTCGCACTGGACGACGACGCTTCGCTTCATCTATTCTGGAAGTTTTGCTGCCTCGCAATATTCCCTTGCCTGGCCGTCGGGAAGGATGTTCTGCACGCATTTCTCAGTGTTGTTGAAAGCAGCGGCCGAGAGGGGGTAGAGATACTGAAATTTGCGTTCTAATCCTTTGACATCCCCCCTACCTTTCTGGCGTAGTCATCCGAATAGTTGGCCACGCTGAACCGCACCAGCAAAAGCGCCACCACAAGCCTCCACATGGCCGTTCCGAACCCGGAGCACGATTAGCCTTCCGGAGAATGTGCGACGTGCAGATAACCCCCAAAGAAGCTGCCTTTTTTTCGGGCCGGCTTTAACTCCTCGGGTCTCTTATCTTTGGGACGGCCGCTCACGGATGCAGGTGCCCCCATATAGGCGATAATTACAAAGCACACGCTCGGCGGCAGCGGCACGTCACTCAGCGCGGATCGTCGTCATGTTCATCAACATGAAATCGGCGGCATGCTTCGTCGTCCTGGTGCTCTCAATGGCATCGGCTATGCCGTTTGACCAGATCGCAGCTGGGAAGCCGGCGGTGGGTTTAGTACCATAGTATAAAGAATAGACTAATGGTTATAGCAAACATAACATCATCGTCGTCATCATCAGAAAACTAGTCAGAACGTCGCTTTATGTTCAAAAATTCTTAGCGTAATTTCCAGTATGACGACGCCTTCTCGCGCAACCTTTTGTGGCCACTCGCCGCCGCTGCATACGACCCGGATCCGCAAAAGTGCGCGACGACGGCGATCCAGGGAAACGTAAGGACCCGATTCAACCAGCCCAGAAATTGTTTTAGGTCACCAAGGTGGTCTCCATCCCGTGCGACCTCTTCAAGGGGGACACCTGCAAGGGCTTCGTTGCCGTCTCCGAGAGCCAGAAGGCAATCGTCCTCTCTTTCAGGTGTGTTCCTCAAATTCGAAGCCCCAAAAGGAAGCCATTCTAAAAAGCACGTTTTCAGGGGCACGGCTGGCACCTTGCAATTGGTAGATGAATTCCTTGAGGCTTTCCAACAGAAGGTATTTTTCTTCCACCTGTACGAACCTGAACTCTCAGGTTGCTTTCAACGCTGGGCACGTCGCCAAATATTTCCTGACCGGCTTCTTGGATATCTGGAATAACGGTGAGCTATTTCCTAAGGGCTATAAATTTGCATAGGCATGAAAGACGCCGTGTTGACGCTGTTCTCGAAATATCCGGACTATCAAGTTTGGGTAAGTCGTCCAGTAACAGTGCTCGTCGCGATACTCGGAGCCCGCAATCAACGCAATATTGTTAGGTCACCGGGCACTCGCTCGGCGGATCAATGGGAGCGATTGCTGCCGACTACATCGTCACCCAGTACCGTATCGACCCGAAGCGGGTGAAGCTGGTAAGACAGAGACGTGTATGTTCAAGTTACCTTCCCTAGATCACCTACGGCGAGCCGAGGACCGGTGATCAAGCGTTCGCTGATGACCATGACCTCAAGGTAAGCTTTTAAGACCTGTGATGCTAAATTAAAATCTAGATCCCATACTCTTTCCGCGTCATCCACAACCGCGATCTTATCCCGCATCTGCCGTTCCGCGAGCTGTTGAACATGGACTACGAGCATCATATGACTGAGGTAGAAGAGCGCTCGGAAATCATCAAGGTTTTTTAGATTTGGTACAAGAACAACATGGCGACCGCCGATTTTATGGTGTGCGACCAGGCCCAGGAGCAAAAGTAAGTCTCTCCATGGCTCTTTGTTTGTCTTTCTCTCCCTTCAATTTCCGGGTCATGCTCCAACTCTATCAAATTCCAGCACATGCTCCGATGGCGTACTCGATGTCTGGGAGCCGGACCACCACGATTATTTCAACATCCACGATCGTGACGCGTGGACCGCCAAGGGCTGCCCGAAACAATAAAACCTATGCATCGAACACATAATGTACAATTTGAGATTTTCCGCCCTGGATAAATCACTTCCTGAACACTCAATCAATTCAACGACACCGGATAGCAACTAGACTCCCATACCTACAGTTATCAGCGACCGGCGGCTCCTCGACTTATCGCATCAACGAATTTCAAAAAGATTCTTGAACAACCGCTCGCCGTGCATTTTTTCGGGATTAACCCGAATTCCGCGAGCGCCGTTATCAGTGACAGCGTCAGCCGGGTTGGACTCCCGGACGGCCGCTAACCATTCTGTTTGCTTTTTCATTTTTTCGAAAGTTAAACGTTATTAAATAACTTAATATATTAAGTAATTATAAATCCAGGGCATGCGGTCGTTCGTGGTAACCATCGCGATTTTGGCTGGCGTCCTTGCCATGCCCTTTGACTTGGAAGAGGCGAAGCGACGGGATGCTTCGCTTGTAAGCTAAATTTTTCGAAACGCCAAGTAAGATTCAGTACTCGGACGACGTGGCCCGGCACGTCTTCTTCCCACTGGCCATGTCCACGTACAGCCACGATCCGCAGAAGTGTATCACCACAGCAGCACAGGGAAAGGTGCGAGCTGAGGAAAAATCGAAGTGAATGGTCCCTGTTCAGCTTCGTCGCTTCGTCAACGTCCAATGCGATATCGATAAGCAAGATACTTGTGCTGGTTATACCGCTGTCTCGGACGCCCAGAAGGCTATTATTCTGTCTTTCAGGTTTATCTGGCTAAAGCTTTGACCCTGACTTTCCAGGGGCACCAGCGGTAACTCGCAGCTCGTTTTGGAGATCGTTGAGGCTTTGCACCAAATGGTAAGTCTCGAAAGCTCCCAAATTTACATTGAAATAGGTCCCATTCGCGGGTGGCAACGTCGCCTACTACTTCTACAACGCTTTCCTGAGCGTTTGGAATGGAGGTTAGTTGCCGAAGCGGGAAGCAAGTTGTGCTAGACTTTACTTGGGCCCAGCGGAATTCCCAAAAGTTGTCCCTTTAACTTTTTTATATGACATTATTTTCGCTGTAATTCAACCCCTGAGTATATTTTTTAATGCTCTATCGAAGGATGTCGTCAAAATTTCGACAAAATAGCGAAAATATCGAAATATTCTGGGAGCTGCCGACGGGGGAAGTAAAGTCTAACCCCAAAATTGTGTTTAGGCATGAAGCAAGATTTTCTGGCGCTCAGAAATGCGAATCCTGGGTATGAGATCTGGGTAAGATTGGCGTCATGAAATCACTTCCTGAAACAGATCACCGGGCACTCTCTCGGTGGGGCAATGGCGGCCGTGGCAGCAAACTTCATTGCGACCACACAGAACATCACCGGGACGCCCGTGAAATTCGTAGGTGCATGACAAAATACCCGGAATTGCTGCTTATCAGATGACTTTCGGAGAGCCGAGGACCGGTGACAAGAATTTTGCCGACGCGCACGACTCTCGAGTAAGACATCCGGGTATCTGTGTAAGCATATGGTTTCAGTTCCCCTTCTCTTTCCGCGTCATCCACAACCACGACATTGTTCCGCAAGTGCCATTCCCGTTCATGGGCTACCGCCATCACGGAGCGGAGGTATAGTTTTAGCTTTTAACGCATAGCAATTTTTCGGCTTGTTTTCAAAATGTCGAAAATCCTAATGTCGAAATTCATAATCTCGAAATTGTATAATGTCGAAATTCAGAATGTCGAAATTTACAGGGCGAACATTCCCGATGTGGCACCCGAATCCTAGGCAAAAAAATTCGATATTCTGAATTTCGACATTATGAAATATCGCCTTTATGAAATTTCGACATTATGATTTTCGACATTATGATAACAACTCCAAGTTTCCAAATCAGGTGTGGTACGAAAACACAATGGGCAACGGCGCCTCGTACAAAATCTGCGAGCAGCAAGAGGATAAGTTGGTTTTCGGATTATTATACTGCAAATGCCGATCTCCCTTGATATAAAATATGCCCAACAATTTGTAGGAACTGCTCGGATGGAACACTCGACGTCTGGGAGCCCGACCACGACGACTATTTCGGTCTGAAGGATGGCCAAGCGTGGTTCGACTCTGGCTGCCCAAAGTTTTAGAACAAATAAATAAATCCATATCCGCTTAAGCAAATGCTAATCAATATGTTTATCAAAAGGCCCCATTTGTCTCGATAGCGTGGGAGAGCAGACATGAAGGTCACAACATTTATTCGGAGCGTGCCCCCGGTGGGGTGGCACCTCGATGAAGTAAATGAGGACAGGGAAGCCGGGTTCGGAGCGTATGACTGAAGCAATCACAACGAGAAATGGGGGCTTTATATACCAGGGAACGTAGGGAAATCGACATGGTAATGAGGGGAAGGCATGGTGATTAGCTTGTTCTTCCGGTCATTCAGCATGCGCATGCAGTCGCGGGATCGCGACACTCCCGGGGGACGAGGCTTCAGCGGCAGTAGTCGAACGGCCTGCAGACGACCCGCGGTGGCAGACATCGCTGCTTCTTGACTCGTCGCCACGCACGTCGTCAGCCTTGAACACGATGGAGTTGCCCTTGATCACGCGAAGTTGCCCTTGATCACGCGAAGTTGCCCTTGATCACGCGAAGTTGCCCTGGTACACGATGACGTTGCCCTTGTACACGATGAAGACGCCCGTGATCACGAGAAGACGCCCTGGCACACGTGATGTTGCCCTTGAACACGAGAAGTTGCCCTTGAACGCGAGAAGTTGCCCTTGAACACGGTCGAGTCGTAGCACGCCGGGTGAAACTCTGCCAGCCCTTCCGGGGCGGCCCGATCTCGCCAAAAGAAGTGGGTCTTCATCGCACACGGTCGAGTCACGGTACGTCGGGTGGAACTCCGCCAGCCCGTTCAAAACGTCCGGATCACGCCAAAAAAAGTGGGTCTTCTTGATGCACACGGGTACGTGGCCCTCCCGGGGGCGGCGTTCAGCATCACGTCCGAGTAGATGTCGACCGGGATCCCACGGGGCACCACATGTCTCGCTAGCGTGGGAGAGCAGACATGAAGGTCACAACATTTATTCGGAGCGTGCCCCCGGTGGGGTGGCACCTCGATGAAGTAAATGAGGACAGGGAAGCCGGGTTCGGAGCGGATGACTGAAGCAATCACAACGAGAAATGGGGGCTTTATATACCAGGGAACGTAGGGAAATCGACATGGTAATGAGGGGAAGGCATGGTGATTAGCTTGTTCTTCCGGTCATTCAGCATGCGCATGCAGTCGCGGGATCGCGACACCATTCATCCCTGGTGTTTCCATCCTCATACCGGACACAGCGCCCCTGATCCTCGTGCCCAAACGCAGGCAAAACTCGTTGGGCTTGCAGACGTCGTTTCTTTGACACTGAAACGATTTTTAAACAGTAGATAACAAGCTTTTAAGACCGTCCTTGGTTTCGGAAATCGAATAGGCCCCACTCGCCAGGGCGATCAATGGGAAGAAGAGCAAAAATTCGGTGTAGAGACGCATTGTGGAGGAATAGAAAACTGAAACGGGGTGGCTGCTCGAATGCTGTTATGCTATTTGTAAAATAGACTAGTGGTGTGGCGTTGAATTTCATAACGTTGATGATTCATAGGTTGATTATAACGTTTATAACGTCGATAGGAATTAACCGGAAAGCAAAAGTTTCATCTACTGGCAGCCACCATTGATCCAATCATCCAAGTTGACGCCATAGTACTGTCGGTGTTCCGGGATACTGTAGTGGAGGAGCGTGACGCTGTCGGAGCAGTTACTGAAAGCAGTGGATAAATAGTTAAAAATTAAGTAGAAATTAAATGAAAAGTTTTGATCCTAATAAATTAAAACGCACGGGTCCTCTTGTCCACTACACACAGTGAAGTTTGCCGTGCTCATGTCGTTGTTGTACCAGATCTAAAAGGGTTTCTTTCAAAATGTCGAAAAGCATAATGTCTAAAATCATTATGTCAAAATTCATAATGGCGGAATTTCGTAATAGCGAGACCTCATAATGTCGAACTTCAGAATGTCGAATTTTTTTGCGTTGCGTTGGGTTTTCAGGAAAATTAAATCAACCAAACCTCGGTCTGATGGTTCTGGAAGCTCAGGAACTTGGGCGGGATGTGTGGGCCGACATCATTGTGGTTGGTGACGCGGAATGAATAGGTAAACTAAGAAAAAAGTTGATATCTTCGAACTGTCTTACCCTGGCGTCGTGATCATCAGCAAAGGCTTGATCGCCCACACGAGGCTCGCCGAATGTCATCTGGAATTCCATAGAATTTGAGATAGCAAATGATGCTCACGTGTTTAATGGAGGCGGCCGGGACATTCTGGGTGAGCACGAGATAATTTGCAGCAATCGTGGACATGGCACCTCCGAGGGAATGGCCAGTTACCTAAAGTGTATCTCACCGTACCGTCTGAATGTCTAGCCAACTTACGTAGATGTCAAAGGATGGGTATTTTGAGCGGAGGGAAAGGAAATCATCTTTCATCCCACCCGTCCACAACTTGTTGAAGCCGTCGTAGAAATATTCATCGACGGTACCAGCGCCCAGGGGGATCTAATTACTAATTTTGAAACCACTGCACTATTAGCCCACCTTCTTCCTCAGCGTCTCGTCGATCTCGGCCAAAAGTTGCTCATCGGTGGTGGTACCCCTTAAGTTCTGAAATCTATCCTGACGTCAATCAAATCCATACCTGAAGACCAGCGCGATGATTTTCTTATCCGGTGATACAGCCGTGTAGCCGCTGCACGTGTCGCCTTTTAGCATGTCGCAGTCGACGTTAATTTGCCGTTTCAGCTATGTTTCAAACTTTAAGAAATGAGCTACAAAAAAACCTGAGCACCCAGCCACTTGTTGATGCACGTCTGCGGATTGGTATAGGCGGACGCGGCCAGTGGGTAGAACTGATGTCGCCCAACATCATCTGTGTACTGCCAAGGGTGTTACTGCCCGTGGTTTCAAGCGCTTACCTGGGCTTTTTGCGTTAAAACGACAGTTAGGAAAAGCCCAATACACAGCGGCAACCGGATCGACGCCATCGCTGACCAAAAAAAATGGCTTGTCTCGAGTCTAGAGCCCGGAATCACCCCGCCGTCAAAACCAAAGATTCGCGATAAGCACTTCCAGGACGGGGTAGCAATCGGGGACTCCGGTTGCATCAAAGCTTGGGTGCAAAAGTGTAGTTCTGTGGCGTTTCAAAAATGTGGGCAAGTTTATTCGACTAGGTAATTAGTAGATCGCCCTCCGCAGCTACGACCTTGTCTTTGAGGAGTGGTGTGTACGCGATCAGCAGAGTTAGCCAATAATTTGTTACGTCGCGGTTGGTGAGCTTGGCGCGTACCCAGTCTTGGGATCTAAAGGTTTTTGCATACCTATTTCGGTTCTTTCGCATTATCGGGGGGGGGACCGAACTTTTTCGTATAAGCCTAGAAATGCAGTAAAGTTCTTAGAAAGTGTTTTAATAGCGTTTTTGGTAATATATAACTAAATTTAAACTAGAAGAGCTAGCTAAAAACGTTCAAAAATGTTAAAAGTAGAAATTTTTGTAAAAAAATCAAAAATGTTTTTGTAGTTTTTAATACAAATTGTAAAGTTTTCACGTTTGGAAATAGTAAAAAACGACTTAGAAACACTTATGATTTATATTTGAAAATTGAGATCTTCAGAAAAAAGTTGGCGCCCCGGCCAATACGAAATAACCCATATTTTAGCTTCGAATAACCTTTTGGCCATTGCCTGGGCGAGGGCATCGTGCTCTTGCAGAAATTGGATCAAATTAACCCATTCATCCTCTGTATTCCGCCCAACGGGGATGTAGTGGAAATAAGGAACCTAAAGTAGCTTGCAAACATCTCGTAACTAGTGACTACCAATTTGTGGTTGAAAAATTCAACCATTCCGTCGTCGACGTTCAGCAACACAGAGTTACAGAGCAACAGATGTTTCAGTCGGAAACTGGCCGATACGCCCCGGAAATTGACCAGATATCTAAAAAAATTTGAAATAGTTGGATTTCTCCTACTTGTAACGGCAATTCTCTTCAAACGGCTTCTCCGCAGCCGGCGCGTAGTTTAGGGTGTCCTATAGGATTCAGAGAAATTGGAGTCGTGTTATACCTGTGGTCCCTTATATGCTTGATTTTTCGTGTACTGCGCATCAGCAAGTTCGGGTCGTTTACTAGGGATAAACTTTTTCGAAATACGATTAAATGTACCGGGACAGCAAAACCAGCGGATCGCGCAGTGCCGAAGTCCTGGATCCAAGAAAGAAAGCCACGCTTGCCTTCTCTACCCAATCGATACGATCCGCCGTCCTAGGCTTACCTTTCTACGGCCGTAAATTCGTACTTACCTTAAAATAGTCTTTCTCATCTCATCCCATTTCCCAATACCACTCGGATACTGAGATATAGCCGGACCTCCCTCCCAAAAAGCCCAGGCCGGATAAAGAATGTCCATGTGTTTACCGGGGTCCTAAATATTCAAAATGGCTGTCAAAATAGGCCAGAAACGAGCCTTGCTGAACGAGAAAAGCGGAAGTGGCAACGGCCCGCGCGGAATCTTCGGGTTGTCATGGTCATTGAGCACAAACTGTGTGTCCGGCAACTTTCCACCAATTTGTTTTAGGAAATATTCAACGCCGGCGCATCTAAAGAACATGTAGATGAGGACAACTTGTTAGGAACCATCACCTTGCAGGAAATGTGCATTTCTTTGAGCGATAAATGCTGCCATTAATAACGCGATAAACAACCCCGAATTGTTGTGTTTTCTTGAGAAGCGGGATCGATATGCCATCATTGATGAATGGCTTTAGGTCGGCGACGACTTGTCTAGGTATAACTTTACTTTACTCCCCCGCCGGAAGTTCCCAACAGTTTTTCGCTATAACTTTTTTATATTACGTTATTTTGAGCTGTAATTTAAATTGTGAGTATATTTTTTAATGCTCTATCTAATGGCATAGCCAAAATCCTGAAAAAAATTGCGGAAATGTCAAAAAAATTTTGGGAGGGGGGTAAAGCAATGTCTAGCCCCTTGTTTAATATACGCTTTAAAAATTCAGCTTAATATTTTTCTCCAGATAATGTTAGACCAACGCGGCATAATATTCTTTAGAAGCTGGCCCGTGCTCTTCCTCATATCGTGAAGCTGCTTCGACTTTCCGCATCATGATATTCGAAAATTCGTCTTAACAACTTGAAATTAAAAATTTATTTGATTACCGTAATGGCCCGCATCGGAATTTGCAATATCTACCAGTAGAAAGAATGCTATGAAATTAGCTGCAGTCATTTCGCCGGTTTTGGGCCTAAAATCAATGGCCAGGCTTTTCTAGGGACTCCAGACATAATGTATTCATGAATGTTTGAGTATGCAAACCATTTGTGTCGCCCTTCAGAAGCCCTTCTCGCAAATTGGGCTGCTATGGAAAGGATCGCATAATGTATATAGCGGTTCTTGCGCATTATCGGGGGGTGGGAACCGAACTTTTTTTGTATAAGTCTAGAAATGTCTAGTAAGTTACTCGAAACCGCTTTAATAGTGTCTTTACTTATAAATAACTATATTTCAGCTAGCAAAACTATCTAAAAACTTTAAAAAGTTAACAAATTTTGATCAAAAATCGTTCATTTTCGGTCGAAAAATCGCTATTTTTGTTATTTTTTAAATACACTTTTGTAAAGTTCTCACGTTTAGGAATTGTAACAGAATCACTTAGAAACACTTCCACTATTTATATCTGAAAAATTAGATCCTAAGAAAAAGGTTGGTCCCCCCCCCCGATAATGCGAAAGAACCAATATAACGATAAAACATTGGCATTAAAAAGTTGCAAAACTCATAATGAAGCCGTACCTGTAATAAAGTTTTCGCATTTTTAACCGTTGTATACTCCGCTGCTTTTGACAGGTAAGTATTGCTAAAAAATCGCTTCCCAAAATGCCAAGCTGCACTTTCGCTGCAAAATACATACATAATCCCTGGGGCTGGGAGTCGCGAGCTGGGCGGCTAGATGCGACTAAGAAGCCCCCCCCCCCCCACGCACCGCTCTAATTATTTTATGCTCTGTTTTTCCGATGTCAAAATGGTTTCCTGGATTTTTGGTGTGGGGAGGGGGTAATTTCTTTGCCAAGCCCGGGGGCCCAGACCCACCAGGTCCATTAATTATCCGATTAGGGCGGATTTGGGCGACTGGTCTGAACCCGTCGGCCCAAATTAAATCTGAGAGGATTCGCGTCGACCGGAAGTCGTGTTTTAGCCTGGCCCTGAGGGTGAGGAACACCACGGATCTTCGAGATAATTCTGGCTGTGGGGAGAAGTGCTAGAAGGAAATATCAAAAATGGTACTTTCGCATTATCGCGGGAACAAAATTTTTGCTCACTTCATTAAACGTGAAAACTTAACAAATTTTTACTAAAAATATCAAAAATATCGATTTTGCGACCCAAAATGGTTTCCTTTTTACCAATATTTCGACTTTCTTTGAATTTTTTAGATAGTGTTTCTAGTTGAAATATAGCTATATATTAAGAAAACACTATTAAAACACTTTCTATTAAGTTATTAGGCATTACTAAATTTCAGACTTCATCAAAAAAGTTCGGTCCCCCCGATAATTCGAAAGTACTATAACTTCCTTAGAATCTCGCTGTTGCTCCGCTCGTCAAAAAAGTGTAGCGTAATGCCCCCCAGTTCTCTCTCTGTTTCCCTTTACCAGTCGTGATACTGTAAAATCGAGTGGGTGTCGATGCGAAATTGTTAATTCTTTGAGAGTATGGGGATGAGCCAGGCGGCCATCCGCGGGGGCTTCCCCTACCCCCTCCATAAGCCGTTTTGGCAGAAATCCGCCCGGCTCATCCCCTCTCAGCCACACTCTTACACAGATCCCAGCCGCCGTCGCCCATTTGCCAGATGAAGATGCGCCGCATTTTCTTCACCGGTTCTCATACAGCAATTTTATTTTCCTATTTTATTTTTCGTTCCTACTGTCAATATCCAACTTTTTTGAAAGCCCAAATCCTGGTGGGCACCGGAAAACTTTGGCCGGATTTTGTGGGAACTAAAAAGTCGCTAATGTGTCACTTCTAGCCCAATATCACCGATCGCCATGATGCCGTCATGAGGAACGATGGGGGTTTGCACGGTCAGTGGTATACATTTACAGTACGGTTTTAGGTCACGTGCTCAACGGCTAAGCCTAAGCCTAAGCCTAAGCTTAAGCCTAAGCCTAAGCCTAACCTAAGCCTAATCTAAGCCTAAGCCTAAGCCCAAACCTTAAACCTAAGCCTGGACTCAATAAGGTTCTTTCCCATTATCGGGAGGGGGGAAACAAACGTTTTTCTTAGGATGTATTTACCAATTTATTTTTCTATTTGAATGAATAGTGGAACTGTTTAATGTTTTTTTACTATTCTTAACCCTCAAAAACTACAAAAATATCAGAAATATCGATTTTTCGATTAAAATGTCGACTTTTTGAAATTTAGAGCTACTTTTCCTAGTTAAATATAGCTATTTATTACTAAAAACACTATTAAAATACTTTCTATTAAGTTACTAGGCGTTTCTAGACTTATACAAAAAGTTCGGTACCCCTCACCAATAATAAGAAAAAACCCATAATAATCTATTTTATTTTGCTACAGAGCCATGAGGCGGTACTCGTCGCAGCAAACGGATCAACAACGACGGCGGCACCGCGCTCAGAGCGTCCGGACCAGGTCGAAAAGCCCGAACAGCCGATGAAGCCCGGCCAGCCGCAGCTCCGCGAATTCAAGGCATATGTCCCGCCGCCGCTTGACACGAAGCATAAAATCTATGATTACGTTGGGGTGGGTTTTCTAAAATTAAAAACTCTACGGCTATGCTGCAGACTGAGCTCGAGCGTGAGCCGCACCTCATCGTGGCATGCACACATTCAATGGGATTACTGCCAGACCGGCTGATGATAATCGACGTAAATCCCGATAGTCCGCACTATCAGAAGGTATGCCCTCAGCAAAATGACTCCAATTTTTTCTGGGTTGTCGCCGAACTGCCATTTCCGGATGTTGGTGATGAACCCTGCAAAATGAACTGGATCCGCTCGGCTATCAACTTGGAAGATATTGCAAAGGTATCGATACTCGTCTTCCATCGCATGCGGACCAAATTTTTATCGGCGATGCGGACTCAATTTTATTGCGCTATAACTTTGTTGTTTTACAATATTATGATGCGAAAATTTGACTGAACATAGTTTTTATGGGTCCCCATCGCTGCTAAAAATTTTGCCCCGATCCGATACAAGGCCGCCAAATGCCGAGGGACACCCTGTATTTCAAGGTGGCGCGCTCACACCTCGTCATCCCCTGCTTTGGCAGCAACAAAATTTACATAGTTGCCATCGAGGGGCTCAGCATGAAGATTGTAAAGGTATCGGGTATCAGATTAATGTCAAAAACAATTCACAGACAATTGAAAGCCGCGAACTGTCGATGCGCGACCTCTCCTGTCCATATTCTGTGCACACACTCCCGATGAGCGGAGCCCCCGTTCACGTTTCCTGCCTTGGGGACAAGAATGGACATGGCAAAGGTATACTTTTCTTGAGGCTGTTCCCAAATTTCAGGTGATTTCTTGCTCATCGACCGGAAAAACTTTACGATCCGCGAACGGGTGAACAAGGAGGACTTTGCGCAGTTTGGTGGGGAGTTTGCGCTCCAGACCCGGTGAGCTACAGCGGTTTTGTACCAGCAGTGAGGAATCGCCAAGTCGACCTCTCGCTTTCCAGGCACAACGTGCTCATATCGTGCGAGTGGGGCCACCCAAGGCAATTCCAGAGCGGGCTGATGCTCAGCGAGCCGTTTGAGCAAGGTAGTCGGCAGAGAGTCTTACTCAAAAAACTACGAACACATCACCTTTTAGACAGCCCGATGGCCGAAATCGCTTCAAACGATCGGAACTCCATTCACACGCTCTCAGCCATCAAAACCTTGATCTTTCCGCAGAATAGTAGGTTTTACCGTTTCGCTAGCATAATGTCGAAATTCCATAATGTCGAGACTCAGAATGTTCAAACTTCATAACGTCGGAATTCAGATTGTCTAAGTTGTTGTATAGCATTCAGGGGATGTTCCCGCAAAATTGCCTTATGCAAATTTCGACATTCTGAATTTTCAGATTATGAAATTTCGCATTGATTTTCGATATTTTGAAAGACCCCCGGTTTTACCTGTCCTATCATTTTGTCCAGTAAAATTATTCTAAGATTGAACGCCAGGCAAAACACGATCAAACGGACCCATGAATTCGTCTAATTTACTACTCCGCCGATTCTACACCCTTGTCACCCCAATTAGCAAATCTCAAGAAGTGCATGACGATGTTCCGGGTTGTTTTCGACTGACTTGTTTTTGCGGTCAACACTTCCCCGTTAGATTCGACAGCGCGGAAAATTTGTTGAATCAAGGGTGGAAAATTTATACGCTACTGTACCGAAATAAGTAAAGGTTAACGATGTGCTCATGTTGAAAAACTGTGAAATGTGTTGTAAATAACCAAATATCATATATTCTAGACCACTACGGTAACCGGTTAAACGTATGGCAAATCTCACCCGGGCACCTGCGCCAATCGATTGAGTTGGACCCGTTGGAGGGCAGTTTGACTACTTGCGTACGGTAGGTTTTCCATTGAAATCATCCACTACAACTTGCCCGTTTAGATTCCTCCACAACCCCGACTGTAATCACGCGTTCGCCTGCTCAGCCCTCGGCTCAGCCGTCTACCATCTCCATATGAATTCTGTAAGTTCGGTAGCTGTTTTTCGATTTACGGGGCGATCTGGGCTTATCCAGGTCTCAAGAAATGTAGGATGCGATCCAGGGATCTCGAGGAAAACAGGCAAATCCGGTAGCAACTATCGAAGGCCAAAAAAGTTCATCAAACGTTCCATGCCAAAACATCCCAAATTCTCGAGTTGGTCAAAAATCAAATGCTTTAGCTTTCTGGCGACTTCAAGGCCGACAAGATCATCCAGCTGCCGCGGATACGAACCAGCGCCTACGATGAACAAAACAAAGGTATCGGAAAACTTCTGCCAATCATCGCCTCGTAATAGAAGACGGTCTGCCCGCCATGCTAACAGACTTGGTGATCTCGATGGATGATCGGTTTATGTATTTGGCATCATGGCTCCACGGTCTTATCCTCCAATACGATATCTCTGATCCATTCAGCGCCACGTTAACTTCAAAGGTATTGTCTTACTGTAGACAAGCTAAACATGTCAATTCAAGGTGCAACTGGGTGGGTTGATGCAGTCCCCAAATAGTTCGCGACTCACCGGCGTGGATTCGGGCGAGGTAAGCGCCGTTTCGACATGAATAGTGGAATGTTAGGAGCACTACCACCCTAGCCGGACGCTCCTCAAGAACATTCCTTTCCGGGGAGGCCCGGCGACACTTCAGTTGAGTCTCGACGGGCGTCGCCTCTACGTCAACAATTCGATGTATAAGGCCTGGGACGCACAATTCTATCCAGAGCTGATCAGGTAGATAAGGGTGGAGACGATATCTATCAAAATCTCGAAAATTAGAATCTCGAAATTTCCATAGTTTGCATCAAGTTTAAGTGCTGCAGGGATTGCACACTTACACCTTGCATCCAGCCTATGCAAAATCGGAGATTCCGAAAATTTGAGATTTTGACAATTCCAGATCCCGAAATTCGAAATTCTGTTATTCGGGCTTTTGCTAGATTCCCGGTAACAATATTCCTTTTAGCGAAGGCGGGCAGATTGCTTTGGTCGAGATCTCTACGAAAGACTGCTCCCTACAATTGGCCAAGGAGTTTTTGATCGATTTTAAGAAGGCAAGCTACAAATTCTGTTCCGATTTATTTTGTCGTTTTAAACGCTGTGATTCCGATTTTAGGTCGAGGGCGGCCCATTCTTATCCCGCGATCTTCACTTCCCGCAAGGCGACTCGACGTCAGATAATTTCCTCTAAGCATCTACAGAATTTCATTGTATACCGCATTAAGAGCCCCTCATATGCTCGCGCCTCAACCTGCAACGCTCACCAAAGACGCATTTTACAATTTTTGGGCAATGTGTACACCGTGATAAAGTCTTTCTACGCTTCTCCTTACAAGGTATCGCACATTTACAGCGCCGTTCAGACACAAACGGAGGAGTAATATTTCAGGGGCGAAAAAACGTAAACTTCAGGGTATCCCAGAAAAGCGATCCCGTCGGAATTTCGCGGAATCTGATCGTTTCCAGAATTGGGCTAGAGCTATTTTAGACCCTAAATCCCAAAAATCCCGGCTAATAGCCCGATCGCTCCGGTAGTTCTCGGGTTATAACGCAAATACTGTTTTTTCTCGAAATTCTCAACATTTTTTCGACTATCTTTTGGACTTTGCATAAATTTGCATCCACTTCCGAATGAATCCCTAATTTCGCTGAAGAGCCAAAGTAATTTTGCGCTGTAAAAATTGCTTAAATCGACGCGTATTTGATTAATTTTTTACGGAAATGAGACTTGCCGAGTCATTTCACTCAATATTTGTAAGATCGATTCTCCAGGGAACCCTCCGAAAAACGTAAAACAATGTTTCGTTTTGCCATAACTCAAGAACTACTGTAGCTATTGCTCTATAAGTCCGATTTGTTGTTATTTAGGGCCTGATACACCTCTGGTTCAATCTTGGGACGGCTCGTATGTAATAGGGCGAAATGCCGAAGGGGTTGTTCTTCTTGGGATCACACCCCGTATTTGTGTTATCGTCTCAAATGCCATGCCTACAATGCTGACCTTTTCCCTCGGCTTTCGAGAATCTTCTACACGCACGCCCCGGTGTGCACTTAAACCTCGACTATATCGCGAAGATCTTCCACGTTGCGACTAGTGTGACGCAAATTCCCCCTTCAAAATGCCGGAAACCAAATCTGTCCCTCGGTGTCGGGTCATCAAACGGGGGGTAGTGTCGGCTCGGCCATTTATCCCAAAAAAGCACACGCCGAAGGGGGAACGTGGGGGCTATTCTCGTGTGGGGGAGGGATATTTCCACATGGGCCCTGGCGGCGCCCACTTCTACGTCATCTCTAGCCCTGCGCGGAAGAGGGGGACTAGAAGGGCCACGCCCCCCTGTGGGCCCCCATACATAAAGACTGACCCCTGGCCCGGGGACTTCAGAGGGCCGCTAAGGACCTTGTTTTCTTTTGAACTACCATCCGTTCGGGAATCTCCGAAGGCTAAGCCTTCCTCTAAGTTTGGCTTTTCTTGTGCAGTTATAACTTTCGCTACCGTAGTGATTTCCATGCTTTACACTAATTATCTCTTACATTACCTTACATCGTCTGATTACAAAGATCAAATTTCAGATATGCCAAGACTGATGGTACACATTTTACTCGCTTTCTTCTTCCTCGGCCTCATTTCGGCACTGCCGTTGGTACAGAGGAACAACATTGAAGTAGGTTACCTGCGCGATTACCATGTTCGTCTCTATATGAGGCTTAGGATCAGATTTAGCTTCGGCTTAGCTTAGGCTTTGCTATACCCCGTATCGCACTCCCTAACCAGGTTTTTTCTAGGTTGCCGACGATACGCTGCTTCAAGACGGAATTTACGACCTGGACTTTGACAAACGCGACCCAGAGAGCCCGTATTGGTTCGACGTTCCCGAGAGCTTACGGTAGGTCTCAAAGAATGACGGATATTCTGATGCAAGCCGCGCCCTATCGCCCAGTAATCAATTCGCTTTTTCAGCTTCAAGCCCGAATTGCCGCGCACCGATCGCAAGTCGCAGCTGGACGAGGAGATGATCCTGTCCGCCAGAAGGCATCCGATGCCCATCGTCTAAGCATGTCGACGCCTACCGTTAAGCCTACCCGGCCGGGGGGGGGGGGCCCGGGGCCCGGGGCCGGGGGGGGCGGCCCCGGCCGGCGGCGCCCGCCCACCCCACCCCCAGCCCAGCCCCCAACCCTAGCCCTTAGCCAGTGACTTTCCTGTCAATTTCCCCTCACCTCACCCTTTTTGCTCGTCTAGCTTATAAAGCAAATTTTTGAGGACTTTTAATGCGTTGTATACGATAACCATCTTCTCTGTCGATTCGAAATGCCTTGAGCGGTCTCTATCTCCCCCCTATTATTCACGCGTACCCCCAAAATATATCTCCGTCTATCTCTCTCGATATTGTGCTCCCTGTGATACCAGAACTGAGACCAAATAATGCTGCTTGTTGAGCCATACGGGTGCTGATGAGCTGTCTTGCTGACCCTATAACCCTCGGGTAACCCCCCTTCATGATATGCGGACGATCGGTGACGACGTAACCCCTGAATGCAAATAAATGTTGCAAACATAGGCATTGAGCTTGGAATTTGTTGACATGTGGATAAGGAGGATAAGGAAACTTAAGAGCACAAGCCTATCTAAGAGAGAGAGGTAGAGAGAGAGCGAGAGAGAGAGAGAGAGAGAACGAGAGGACAGAAAAGAGAGAGAGCGAGCGAGAGAAAGAGGGAGAAAGATAGGGAGAGAGAGTCTAAGAGAGGGAGAAGGCAGAGAGGGGAGAGGGAGAGCGGGCGAGATAGAGAGCGAGAGAGAGAAATGCAGGTTTTGCTACCGACCGGTTCTCTTTAAGATTTGATATTTCAGCGCATCTCCTATGAACAAAACACAAACTTTCCATGCTTTTACAACCCCTATGCTCGCCCACTGTGCCCAGCGCATTTCAGTAAATAAAAAGTGCCCGGGAAATGCTGTTTTCGGCGCCATGTACCCGCACAAGTCCCCCCGAAATAGCAAGTTCCTTTTTCGAGCTCAAATTTCCAATCAAGTGAAGGGCATCCATTCGAAGCCGAGTCTAAGATTAGCCCCCCGGCTGGCTATTTTGGGGTTAGCGCCTGGGGGCAACAAGATATTTGCGGAGGGTCGTTCGAGGGGTCGCCACAAATTGCATTGCGATCCCATCAAGCAAGAATAGCATCGAGCCCTGGCGCCTCCCAGCGACAGCCATTGTATTGATGTCTTGTTTCGGAGCATCGTCCATCCTTCCATCGTCAGCACCCTTGGAGACCCGACAAGGCAAAGTTTAACTCTCGGGGAACATAGTCCTGAAAGTCATGATGTCACACCAAAAATAGAAAATTCCGGGGTAGATGTCTACTACAGAGGAGGTGGGCAGAACTCACGTACCTTTTTCTACATTTTGGCTATTTTCTCGCGTTTTTTGCAACCCTATTCGATAGAGCATCGAAAAATATACCAAGTGTTTTTGTTTTAGCTCAAAATATTTTATTATAAAAAAGTTACCGCAAAAAAACACAAAAATAACTTTTGAAACTCGGGTTGGGATGCTAGTTTTCGATAATTCCTCCATTTTTCGGTATTTTAAAGACGCCATTCGATAGAACATCGACAAATGTAATGTACAATATGTACACGAAAAATACGTAAAACAGTACTGTACCCGCGCCAAAAATAGAAAATTCCGGGAAGACGTCCGATTTCCGATGCGCAATGTTTTCCGATGCCCCCCAGCCGGCCTTGATCCGTCGTATATTTTTCATTCGGTGAACTTATGTAGCGCAAGAATGCCAGCGACGCGAATTCATCGGCAAATCTCACAAAATATGAATTGTAGCGCATGGGCTATTTACGAGCATACTTTTGTAACGCTCTTTTGGCCGCCAACTCTCACCTAATCGTGAGAGGCCGAAAATGGAGTGTGAGCTCGCCACGCATCACATTTCTTGGGAATATGAAAAATAATGACTGAAGTAAAGTCATTCATGTCAAGTCGTTTATGTCGTTTATTTCAGGGCGTATGGCGAGGCAGAGCTGAAGCGGGGCCGATACGGTTCTGGACTTTTAGCGGGGGGGTGTCAGGGGAACCAAATTTTTCCCTATGATTTTCTACGGTTCTATAACAATATATAGATCAATTTTATAGCATTTCACATAGTTTTTAGATATAAGAACCGTTAGAAACACAAGAAAATTTTCGAAAGTTTTATGGTTTAAATTTCGTCATAAAATCCTTCACTCGATTAATTTTAAATAAATTTTAAAAGATTTATTCATAAAATTCAATAATTCTTTTAAGATTTCGAAATTTAAAAAATTTATATAACTTTCTAGAAATCAAAAACTACCAAAAACACTCTTAAAATACACTTTATAACAGCAACAGCTAGGTATAGATGGAAAAACACAAAGTGCTTTCTCCCTGCTAAAACTCGCCCCCCCCCCTCCGCTAACAACACAGAACCGCCGCTATCAAATGTTATTCTCCATCTCAATGGCTCGGATCGGGTGTCAGGGCAAGCCGCATAAATTCGTAGGGATTCATTCAGTGGATCTAAATTTAGCCCAAACCTACTTGTGCAAGTTTAATTCAATCGTGAATGCCAGCCGGCTGCTTTCGTCCCGAAATTTCGAAACATGGTACCATTATAAAGTCCAAAAATACACCCCCGCGGATTGGCATCAATTAGCCACCGTCGCCCAAGTGTGCTTTTGGGCAAAAAGCCCGTAGCAAGACTCCGATTGCATCACATTTTCACCCACACACACGATTATTCATCCCACGCCTTTTTGGCTGCCTGCCACCGGGGGAAGGGGAGCTAACTTTTTTGTATAAGTCTAGAAATGCCTAGTAACTTAATAGAAAGCGTTTTAATAGTGTTTTTAGTAATAGATAACTATATTTCAACTAGAAAAACTATCTAAAAACTTTTTAAAAAGTTGAAATTTCGGTAAAACATCGGCCATTCTCGATCGAAAAATCTTTTAATACAAATTTGTAAAGTTTTCGCGTTTAGAACTACTAAAAACTATTTAAAACCACTTCCATTTATTTATATGGAAAATGCTATCCTAGGAAAAAAGTTGGTCCCCCCCGGAAATGCGAAAGCTCCTAACATTGGGCATATGAAACCGTTAATTCCGCCCTGCACCACAGTACGGGTCGGTGGGGGAAAACATGTTTTCCGGGGGCTGCACTACCGCTGATGAATTGGGGTAGTAAATTCGAACAGTTGATACGTACTTACGGCTTTGACGTCAAATATTGAAATCGTAAAATTAGGACTTTAGCCCAACGTTTTTCTAAAAAGCTAATTTTTCGAATATAAATCGTGGAAGTATTTCTAACTAGTTTTTTGCTATTCCGAAACCTGAAGACTGTACAAATTTGTGTTAAAAATATAAAAAATCTCGATTTTTCATCCGGAAATGACCGATTTTTGCCAAATTTTCGACTTTTAAAGTTTTTAGATATTTTCTCTAGTTGAAATATAGTTATATATGACGTAAAACACTATTAAAACTCCTTCCATTATTTACTAGGCATTTCTAGATTTATACAACAATTTTCGCTCCCCCCCCCCGATAATGCGAAAGAACCCGGTTTCGATTATTCGAAAATAGAATCTGATCGGCGCTGATCTTTCCGAAGCGTTAGACCCGGAAGCCGTCTACCTTCTGACCTTATCGCCCGGTAACGAGTTTTCCTAGCGGCCCGCATAAAATCTCTGCAAGTTCTCCTGTCAGTCCAAAAAAAGCTCTCCACTCGCACGGCAGCATAAATTGCGTTGCGCTAGAAAATGTCAACGTTCAGCGGGCTCGGCGGTCTCCGATTGCTAGTTTGCAGTGAAGAAAAGTTCACAAAAAATTGGAGCGGAAAATCGAATTGGGGCGCCGCCGGAAAGGTCGGCGTCAGCCCGCCTTGCCTTCGAGTGGGTCGCAGATGAAATTTCGGGTCGAGGGGCCCTCCTACATGAGCTGAAGGTGGTAGCAATGTCTAAAAACAAGCCTCAGCCTACGCCTAAGCTTAAGCCAAGCCTAAGCCAAGCCTAAGCCAAGCCTAAGCCTAACCTAAGCCTAAGCCAAGCCTAAGCCAAGTCTACACTTAAGCGAAAGTAATTATCGACAAGGGCTCAAGGGTATTGTTGTGTATTTTCACTTCAGTTGCTTCACCATTGAAATTCAGAAGACCATAAAATTTGGCTGAAACGAGCGCGTAAAAATGATAGCTTCTCCCCAAAGGAATTTATTACCCACTCCATGACGTGGCTGAAATTCGCCCCAGTGGGGTTCTCACGACGAGGATGACGGCTTATTGGCACGGGAAGGCAGTAATGAGGAAATACTCCCACAAAGGCCACGCGTTCGGAAGAACTACGAAACTACGAAAAACATTCTCGGTAAATGAGGTTTGAAACATTTCGGGTTTCGCAAATAGTATTAGGTAAAATGGTTCTTTCGCATTATCGGGGGGACTCACTTTTTTCTTTAGATCTAATTTTTAAAACATAAATAGTGAAGCTGTTTTAAATGTTTTTAACTGTTGCTAAACGTGAAAACCTTACAAATTTTAATCAAAATATTTCAACAATATCGATTTTTTTTGACCGAAAATGGCCGATTTTTGAGCAAAATTTCGACTTTGTGGAAGTTTTTAGATAGTTTTTCTATTTGAATGATAGCTATATATTACTAAAAACACGCTTAAAACATTTTCTATTAAGTTACTAGGCAGTTCTAGACTTATACAAAAAAGTTCGGCTCCCCCCGATAATGCGAAAGAACCGGTAAAACCTCTAGGGAAGGATGGTATATACTATGATTTGCTATCATAATGGCGAAAATCTTAAAGTCGTAATTTCCTACTATCAGAATTCAGAATGTCGAGATTTATATGAGCTAATTTTCCGGGAAAAACCCTGAATTCCGAAATTAGGTAATTTCGGCAAAGGGTTGTACGTACCGCCATCCTGGAGGGGACTACCTTTGATCCGTGCTGGGTGAGCTGCCCCCTAGGGGGGACAAGGACGGCGAGCCAGATTTGAGGTCCGCGCGAACCCGTTTCGTTTTTCGCAACGATACACGGGGGCAAACAGGCGAAATTCTAGGAGATTTAGTGTGCCGAAAAGGGAGAGGCGGAAAGGAGCAAGAGGTGCGCGAAAGGAGACGGCCGAGGACGATCCCGGGGAGGCCGATGGAGATCGACGCTGGATAAGCCTGTAGCCTACCCTTTGACTATCCATTCCCCAGCCACGTACACCACCTTTTGTGCACACAGAGACATTTCCTCGTCGCTGTATCCGCTTGCGAGCTATTACCGGCTATTATTCTCTTGCTCAGAAACTTCATATTTAGCATTTACCTTCATTTCATTATCCATTATCACTTAGCAGTTAGCCTAAGCCTAAGCCTAACCTATGCCTAAGCCTAAGCCTAAAGCTAAGCCTAAGCCTATGCCTAAGCCTGAGCCTAAGCCTAAGCCTAAGCCTAAGCCTAAGCCTAAGCCTAAGCCTAAGCCTAAGCCTAAAGTTAAGCCTAAGCCTATGCCTACGCCTAAGCCTAAAGCTAAGCCTAAGCCTATGCCTAAGCCTGAGCCTGAGCCAAGCCTAAGCCGTACTGAACCGAACGTGCCAAGCAAGTTCGCAAGCCTAGCTGGCTCACGAGTCTGGCTGAAACCTGCCCAAGTTCGCGGCAAGGCCATTCCACGTAGTTCCGCGGGAAACTGAGCTTGACATTGGCTGACTCATCGAGCAAAGTCTCTGTCTAATGTGTCACACCATAAAAATCAGTTTCGACAGAGCTATTGTGAAGCTTCCTTTTAGTTACTGTAAGCAGACCAGCTGACTTATTGGGTTGAGGCTGAGAGCCGCGCTAGACTATAATTTTCTTCACGCATAGCCGCGAGGCTCTTTCAAGACCTATCCTACCTTATCCAAAATTTTTCGTTGAGCTCGAATTTGTTTGCCAAATTTGCTGAGGGCCTCAGGGTCCTCGAGGAGCTCGATCTCAAAAGTTATAGCCGTTTTTGTAATAAAAAAATCTGACTTTTGACCTTTTTAAGTCCCTTCAAAAGCCCTGAGAATTATTTTTTGAAATCGTAGATCATCATTTTTGAAAGACCTCTTCCTCCGAGCATGAACTCGGATCAAAGACCCCCTATTAAGAACCTGGCGTGTTGTTTTCCGACAGGTGACGGAACGGCAAAGTTCTCCCATCCAATCCTGCCGAAATTTGCTCGCAATGGCAGCTATCCGCTCGCGCACGTCTTGCCAGCAAGCAGAGTCAGAGACGACACTGCCGGAGAATGGCAGCTGGCCGAATTTAGAGAAAAGTGAGAGATTCTTTCGGCCCGTGCCTCCCATTCCTCGCATTCATTTTTGGCGACAATATGTTTAGATGCTCCCTGCCAATATTGGAGCTCATGCTCAATTAATGATTATTTTATGGTTTTGTATGGATTAGGCTGATAAGCTGAGGTTTAGGCTTAGGTTTAGGCTTAGGCTTAGGCTTAGGCTTAGGCTTAGGTTTAGGCTTGCTTAGGCTCAGTATGCTTAAGCTCATCCTACACACACCCAAACTTTTGTGCACGAAGCGTCAGCTTACTTCCAAGCCTGTTCACCGCAAAAGCAAGCAACCCAATCCCACTTTCTCTGCCTACACCACAACCAGTCCAATGATTTTGTTCGCCTAACAGTTCATTGCGTTCCCCCTGGAATCCCAGTAAGCCTTTCTGTGCCCACCGCACGATGATGATGGCCCGATTTCCGGGCATGGGATGACCTCGAAAAGGCATTTTCTCCCGCCAGCTATTAACCTATCTGCTATCTCCGTCACACAGTGAGTGCTGCAACGTCGAAAAAATCGCGATTTTTATTGTCATCTTGCTCAATCGCGAATCCGCTGCCTCTGCGCAACAAGGTTCATTCCAGGTTCGGAGTCGGCTTAGGTTTCGGCTTAGGCTTGATCTTTCTGGTTGTTCCGGCTGCATGCGGTCACATGGAGATGTGAGACATTCCATCCCGCTGTCTCCGTCTCAGATCCGAGCCTCGTGTAGACGCTATCCGGAGTGTGATCCCGTCCTATTCCTCCTCGTTGCCCCCCTCCTTCCCGGAGGATCTAGGTCACATCGGCCCGGATTGATCCCATCGTTCTGGCCGACTTCTGCCTGAAGTCTGCCAAGCCGGCACATTTTTGCAGTCTTTTTTGGGGAGTGGCCCTGCAAAATTGTATTCAACCTGGCTGTGACTAGAAATTCAAAATACAACTAAATTCCGCTTACAAAGAGTCGTTTTAGGTGCTTTTGGGGTTTTATGATCTAAACTATGAAATTAAAAGAGCTTGAAATTCTGAAAAAACGTTAGGATTTGTTCTGAATTTCACGCTCTCTCTTACAGCTTAGGCCCTCTCTCTCTCTCTCTCTCTCTCTCTCTCTCTCTCTCTCTTTCACTACCTTTCTCATCTCCGTTCTCGCGCTCCAGAATCAAGAAGAAGCCATCCTTACCATACCTTTCAGCCCATCACCGATGCAGCGTTTGGACTGCCACGTGAAGGAGTATGCTTGGGGAAAAAAGGGCGAGGGGAGCGAGGTATGACAAAATTATCCACTAATCGTCTCCATCAATTTTCTAGGTAGCGAATCTGTTCGCTGCTGGCCATTGTGAGTTTCTCGTCGACAAGTTCAGCCCGTACGCCGAGGTATGGCAATTTTGATTGAAAAGCTAAAATGAATGCTTCAGCTATGGATGGGCACGCATCCCGATGGAGCCGCTCGGCTCGCGTCCAGCAAACAACTGCTTTCTTCTTTTATTGCCAAGCAGGCGGCTGACTGTCAGTTCAACAACAATCTTCGGTGGGGGAAGACCATGTCGCCAAATCATCTCAAGTTCCATTTAGAAAAGATGTCCATCTGCCGTTCATCATGAAAGTGATGAGCATCGCGAAGACGCTCTCACTTCAAGTGCATCCGACGAAGGTGTGCCTTTTTGATTAAAATTTAGCCGGTCAGCTTACCATGATAAGTGCGCTTGCTATGACAATGAAAGCATAAAAGTTACGATAAAACACCCCCAAAGTACCTTCGAAGCTGAAACGAAAACTTAGGAGCAAGCTGAACGGCTTCATGATGCTGACCCTCAGCATTACCCGGACAGGTGGATCTTTTCAGAACGTTGTCGATGAACGATGATCAAGTTCTTTCCTAATAAATCCTTTTTAAGGCACCACAAGCCCGAACTTGCTTACGCTCTGACAAAGTTCGAGCTCCTTTGCGGATTCAGGCCAGCTCATGAAATTGCTGCCAACCTGAGGGCCTTCAAGTGTCTGAGAAGCCTGATGGGAGTTGAGGCAAGTTTAAGCTCCCCGCCAATGACAGCAGCGTCTAGAACAGCGAGCGATTGATCGACCTCATCGAGATGGGCGTCGACCCGAGGAGCAACAAGTGCAAGGTAGGATTGATTCGCTTTTGAAAACAAATCGGTTTTTTCGCATTATCGGCGGGACAAATTTTTCAAATATAAATAGTGCAAGGGTTTCTAAACGGTTTTTTACTATCCCTAAACGTGAAAACTTTACAAATTTGTATTGAAAATGAGCAAAAATATCGAAAATGCACGATTTAAAAAAAATTACTATATTAAATTACCAATTACCAAAATTTCTATTTTTTTATAGCTTTTTGATAGTTTTTCTAGCTTGAAAATAGTTACTATTCAAACACTTTCTATGAAGTGACCTGGCATTTCAAGGCTTATGAAAAAAAATTCCCTCCTCCCCCGATAATGCGAAAGAACCACAACATATTTTCTTTAGTCTCGCCTGGCCGCCTGTTTCGCCTACCAACTCGCACAGCCAAAGGATCAGGTCGAAGATCTAGTCGATGAGCTCATGGCCGATTTGGCGCGTGGAGGTGAGAGCATGATTCGCGTTAAAATTCTCTTTAGTGCGCGGGGCTCTTCGAGAGGATACCGTTGCTGTGATCGAGAAGACGTGCTCAGAGTTCCCGGGGGATGTCGGCTTGTTCGCGCCGCTGTATCTCAACCACATGGTGTTGCAACCGGGCCAGTGCTGCTACTACGCCTCCCAGGAGCTTCACGCCTATCTCAGTGGCGGTGAGTGTCTAGCTTGGTATCATAATGTCGAAATTCGCAATTTCGCAACTCGATAGCGTCGACATTTCAGTTAAAACCGGGTATCTAACGTCGTTCATCTAGGTTCTTTTGCGTGATCGAGGGACTCCTATTTTTTCCGATAGGTCCAGTAATGTCTAGTAATGTTATAATAAGCATTTTAATCGTGTTTATAGTCTGATTTATATTACAAAAATTGGATGCTAAGGAAAGGTACCCCCAGATAATGCGAAAGGATACTTCAGAATGTGTCGAGTGCGTCGGCTGCTCAAACAATACGATCCGAGCAGCACTGACACCGAAATATGTCGATCACGACGCGTTGGTTGAAGCGCTCAACTATCAGATGACACACCCTGATGATTATTTGGTCAGTTTCCTTCGCCATAAAAGCGCGCAAAAACTCCAATTTACAAGCTACTAAAGTTTTCTAATTTCTAATTAAGTTTTAAAATCTTTAATAATAAAGTTTCAATGTGCGAGAATTTCTAGCGCACACAACTCAAAAATTCAGGTGCCAGCCCGACGATTGCCCGCCTACCCGATCGTTGATGAATACGCGCCAGATTGCAGAGATTTTCAGCTGCACCGAGTTCAGGTGAGAGTTTTAGTGGGGGAATAATATTAGTTTTTAGGTGGAGCCCAACAGCACACTTTCGCCGTTGCCACCCCTCGATTGTGCGTCGATTATGGTGGTCGTGAAAGGTTCGTTGGGGTTGAAGATGGGAATAATTTAATACATAGCCTTGATACGCTTTCAATGATATATTTATTGAAGTTAAATAAAGTTAAATCGACTTTAAGTAAATAAATATATTTACAAACTTGTAAAGAATCATACTTACAGGTTATGGTGTCATGGATGACATGAAGCCCGGAGCGAGCAACGAGGCAGCGGGTGGCTCTGAGACACGCACGGTCGCACGGGGTAAGTGCGCAGTTGCTTTAAGCATTGCAACTACGCAAAAATTGTACAATAAATCAATAATAAAGAAACGTGAAAATAACGATAAAATGCCACCATTCAGGTGACATTATCTACATCCCGCCCGGGCGCCGCGTCTGCTTCACCAAGTGTTTCGAAAAAATCGAGGCTTACAGGACGTTTTCGTATGAAACAGGTATGCCTTGAGATAAAGTCAATGTCAGTCTTTGAAGTGGATGTAACGAATCGGAGATAAAAACCCATTTTTAGGTCCGGAGCACGAGATTATGGCGCCGGATGCGCATGTGCTGTCCAGCGCTTCACAGAAGATTTCTCCGGTGCCGCTGAAGGGCAAGACACAAGTCATCATTACCCCGGTGGGTCGGAAAAGCGGCTAAATAAGCTGGTTGATCACTATCTAATAATTTCCATAGAAAAATCAACATTAATATTGCTTTAGAAACTTGATCGCAACGATTCGGGCATCGTTTTTGAAGTGGAATCCGAAATGGATGGATTTTGCTAAACCCTGTGATTTTTACTTTTCCCCCATTGTTCACCGTTTTGAAGATGTCGATTCTCTGTATCATCTTATGACAAGTGCTTTTGCCTAGGTAACCTTCCCGAGTCCAATCCCATCATCCTTCCATTGTAGGTGCATTTTTCGAAATATCAAGATGTGTTCTAATGGTTTATAACCTCAACATTCGCTCTTTCAGCTTTCACTTAATATTTCACAGCTTTGTGCTGACGACACCACAGAATAAAACGAATAAGGCATGTGATCATGATTGCACGCGAAAGAGGGCGAGTAGAGGGAAAAGACCAAAATGAATAGAGGCGTCAGTGGGAATCTATACATACTCGTATCAAAGCACATTTCTTTGTCAAAGAAAATGTAGAGGCAAACGAAGGGATAAGCAAGTCGGAAATGCAGCTTCTCTTCTTCTATTGGTCCTTCTCGTAGTCAGGATAATGGATTTCGCATTTCGGGAGGGCCTGGCGCAATTCTTGGTAGATTTTCGGCTTGCCGTAGACGCGCGGCAGGTTGTGGATGAGCAGCGATTTTAGGCCACTAAAATTTACGTTGTATATAAGTTGAGAAACGATAAAACTTACGTGCAATTCTTGAGGTGATCGAGACCGTCTTCGGTGACCCGCGGGCAGGAATCGATCTCCAAATACTTCAGTTTACTGCCCACAGCCTAAAGGAAAGATAGATTCACCTAAAATTGAAACCCTTACATCGCTCATATATTTTAGACCAAAATCGTGCAGATTCTTGCAACGGACGAAACGGACGTCGAGAATGGCGTTTAGACCCTCTAAAATGAGTTGAGAAGTTTGAATATATACTCACCAAAATGACGGCAACCATAGCCCGTTACTGACGCGTCGATTGCTTCAATGTTCGTGACGCGGACCTGTAAAACTAATAAGTTTTGTCAAAAATGTATACCTGATCGCCAGAAATCCTCGGGTCAAGCTCGGCACATCGTTTGACGAGGGCGTTGTAGTCGGAGAACATGTCGCTCATTTTATCGAACCTAAGAGAAAGTTTAGCTTTGAAAAATACACTCACTTTACGCTGCCACCACAGCGAACGATCCATTCCGCAGCGGCACGATCCGGGCCCACTTCTTTGACGCGCTCTTTGTCGTAACTGAAGTTCTCGTAATCTTTACAAATTCCAGGAAAGACTCACTAGTTGAAGCCCTCCACAAGCCAACGAAGCCCGGGAATATTGTGCTCGCCAAGGCGCTGGACCAACTTCTCTTGTTGCCGAATCAAGAAACGAGCCATCGCTGTAAAAGAATCGAATTTTGACCGCTAAGAAGCAACAAGATGACGAATCGAGATCAATTGCTAAAATAAAGTCCGGGTTGTTGTTTACGCGAGCCGGGGAGGCAACGTGGGCATGGGGGAGGGTTGGGAAACGAAGGACGAGAGAAAAGTGTTGACTACCAAGCACCCAAAATGTTGCTTTTAGGCTAGTTTGAAAAGGGCACTTCGGCAAAACAGATAGTTTGAACTTGTTTGTCGTGATTTTTTAGTACTCTACTAAGTCTATAGTAAGGAAAATTCAATTTTGTCGATAATTCGAGTGAAAAAACCGCAGCTCCTAACGATCGGAAAAATTGCAGTTCAGCTTCAAACTTATAGATATTTAGCAAAATAGATAGTTTCAATTCGTTTCTCGTCCTTTTTAGCTAGTTTCCCCCCAAAATCAATAGTAGGGAAAAATCCATGTCTTCGAAAAAACGTGAATGATATCTCACAAAAATAAACTTACGGATGAAATGTCCGGGACCTGCGTAAGTCAGTGTGTGTGAAGCCGCTGCCATTGGTCGAAAAAAGGGCCCCCCCGCTTAGAAAAGTCCTCAAGAGGACAGCACCTGAAAAACGTATCAAGTGTCGAGTTTCACTTCAAATTTTAGAGAAAAATCGAGAATTCAGCGAAAATCAATCTATTTGCAGCTTTCAGGAAACGGGGGGTTTCCTGAGCAGACAGGCGCACGCCCGATCGCAGTGGAAAAAAGGTCTACGCACAAAGAGGGCTCTCAAACATTGTGGCATCGGGGGGAAAGAGCAGAAAACGATTGTGGGGGAGGGGGGGGGGCCAAAATGTCGCGTTGAGCTGGCGGGGGTAGTCTGGCTGGGAGGGTTGGCTCCCACGATCTTTGCAATGGGATGGGAAAGACGATTTTCATTGCATTCGATGGGAGTAGTTTGTTTTCAGCTAAAAACATTATACAAGGAAAATATCCGTGAAATTCTGAGCTAAAAACAGCCTACAACTACGACTGTTCAGCCTGCCTGCCTTTTTTTATTTTCAAAATTCCTTCCTTGAAATCAAAAAACTTGTCATCGAAAACCGTTATTTTCCGGCACTTTTTGAAAAATGGGGCTTCTTCAGACTTCAAGCTCTCTCAAATGGACTCGAAAACGTCCTTATAGGCTTGAAAAGGACGGTTGCAAGTTGTCCAAACCATGACGGAGAAGACGGCCGGCTAGCTACGCCACCCTACACCGACGTAGGGTGGAAAATGGTAAGAGTAATGGCGGGCTTGCGAGCTATATATTACGTAGTGGCATATGACCAGAGCAGAGGTCGCACAGATCAAAAATGAAGTGGTCAAAGTGCGCGTGCCTCCAGGGCTAAGCGCCAGATAGTCAGTCAGATGACCAGCCTGGCTGGGGTGCTTTCGGAGGGGTGGAGGTCTATGTGTGGCCGGGTACACTCGGGGACGCCCAGCCCAGCCCACACCACACCACGGCCGGATCGTGAGAGGGACTCCCCCGGCCATGCCCGAGGCACGTGTATCTGGGGGGGTGCCCCGGCGCAGAGTGTTGACAAAAAATGGCAGAGGAGGGGGCAGAGCGATGGGAGGGGTCTGCCTCGGCCGGGGCATAGTCCACATGCCCTATCGGTACTGCTATAAGCGGGAATGCACCCAACAACCACCTCAAAAACAACGAAGCTCTTCTGGGTGATCAAAGGTTACGGCAACAAGCTCTTTTTCAGGCGGTACTCCATCTGAAAACCGGGTGCTTTGGTGTTTCCGGGGCCGGGGGCAGACTCAAAACTTTTTTTGTTTGTTTTAGGTCAATTGCCCATCTTTATTTAAAAGTAATCGTCAATTTTTTTTAGTTATTTTTAATCGTAAGTTGTAACCTTTTCATTTTGAGAATAGTAAAAAAGTAGTGACCATCCTAAAGCCACCAAAGATATTGTCAGCTGCAGATGCAAAACAGCGTGCACTACTTCTGCAAGTACGAATTTTCAGATTCTCAAAGTTTTTTACTTATAAAAACTTTATCCTCGTAACAAGACCAACCGAAACCCTCAAATATCACAACAGCAACAACAAAAGGAAAGGCCGTCGTCGCGGGGGTGCGGGAATTAGGCGGCCAGCTGGAGTTGCTTGTAGACCTGCTTCCGGTACTCTTCCAGCCCTCCCTCCAGGTTCGACACCATGCGATCCTTGACCACCTGAAGGGAAAAGTGGGTTAAAAGAACACACAGGACTCATACCCAGAGCTCCTTGCACACCAGCGAGATGAGTTGTTCGTCGTGGGAAACGAGCACGACACCACCCTAAAATAAATTTATCAAAAATATAAATTTGACCGTACATTGAATTTATTCAGCGCCTTGCCCAACGCCTCAACAGTCTCGACGTCCAAGTGATTGGTCGGCTCGTCCATTACCAAGTAGTTTGGCCTGATGATGAGATTATTTAGGCTGAGTTAAAAAGCTTACTTGAGCATGGCAAGATTGGCGAAAGCCAGCCGGGATTTTTGACCTCCCGAGAGCGTGTAGACGGGCTGCAGAGCGGTGTCGCCTGAAGAAATAATTCTAAATATACTGCAATCGCTCACCAGTAATTCCAAAGCGGCCGAGGCAAGCGCGATACTCTTCCACAGGGCGATCTAATCGAGGCTCGGTTAAAATAAGACTCCAGAATCTCACTCGGGTAATTTTTCGCAAGCACTTCGAGGGCAGTGTTGTCCATGTCAAGCTGGTCGACGTGATGCTGGGTGAAATAGCCGATGCGAAGACGCCTGGAAATCGGAAAAATAGGCGAGATCGCAATAAGTGCTACCTATTTGTGTGTCGAATACCAGTCGAGGGCTCCAGATCTCCCAAGAGCAGTTTAAGCAGCGTTGTCTTACCGGCACCATTTTCTCCGACCTGAGGGATCAAGTTTGTATGGTAAAAAACTTACAATGCAGATCCGAGACGAGGCGTGTGTTCCCAAGTTAAGCTTGCGGAAGATGAAGGCCGATTCGGCGTTGTACCTGTACAGCGAATGAAAGAGAAGGATTCTTTTACCTGAAGGCACAGTCGTCCAGGATCAACACCGGGTTGCTCAGCTCCTCGCACTCCGGGAACATAAAGTGCACCTCGGACTCGAATTCGACCGACTGGATGACGGGTCTGGATCAAGTCAGGTTAAATTGGAAATCGATTAGATTTCTTACAGCCTCTCCAACATTTTGATCCGAGATTGGACCATTGCGGCGCGTTTGGCGTTGTACCGGAACTTGTCGATGAATTCCTGGGTGTGGGCGCGGAGCTGTTGCTGGGCCTCGTATTCGCGTTGTTGTTGGGTCAGCTTCTCTTTCATCGTCTAGAAATCATGTAGAACCATATTGTTACTGTAATTTACCTTTTCATACAGATCATAATTTCCTTTGTACTGGTCAAGACGCCGCGTGTGTAGATGAATGATGTCCGTGCAAATCTCGTTCAAGAATTTACGGTCGTGGGAAACTGTCAGGATGGTGCCCTCCCAATGCTGGAAAAAAGCGAGTCGTAAAAATTCAAACGCAAACAATCACCTGTAAATGCCCCTCAAGCCAATAGACGGCCCTCATGTCCAACATGTTCGTCGGCTCGTCAAGAAGGAGAAGGTCGGGCTTGATAAAGAGCGCACGGGCCAGCGCGACACGCATACGCCATCCGCCAGAGAATTCCCTGAAAAGTTACATGTTAATTTGAAAGTTTTCAAGTCAAGCCAGAAAACACGACAAAAACGAACTTTGTGGGCTTCTTCTGCTCATCCGGATCGAAGCCGAGACCGAAGAGGATCGACGCGGCACGGGCCGGCGCCTTGTCCATACCACTTGCCTAGAAAGAAAAATGTTTGTTTTTTCGAACAACAAACCTCCATATCGGCAAACAACTTGGTCAATTCCGTGTTCCACTTTGTTTTCTCGGCATCGGAGAGATCAGGCCTAAAAGTAAAGGTAATACAGGAAACTTTCACAAACTTGTTAAGGCGCTCCTGCAGTACTTTCTCGCGTTCCAAAAACTCGGTTCTTTTGGTGTCCGATGAAAGGACAGAATCTGAAAAAAAAGGTTGAAAATTGAAATAAAGATAAATCCACTTACCGATGACCTTCGTATCGTCCCCTTCCACTTCTTGCTCGACGCTCAACATGCTGATATTTGGCGGGATCCGGAGTTGACCACTAAAATCGGTCCTACATTTTTGAAATTAATCCTTACGCAGATATCATCTTCAACAGCGTGGTCTTGCCGATACCATTCCTGCCGACGAGTCCGTACTTACGACCATAGGACATGTTGACGTTCGCGCTGCACAGCAGTTGCCTGAAAAAAAAAAGATAAAAGCGTTTTAGAGCAGTCCTTACTTCGTGCCAATCGAAATATCGACACTTTCGAGCATGACATTCAAGGAATTCTGGCCAGCTCCAGATTGCTCGCGACGGTTTGCGGCCTGTGAAGCCGTAGCAGCCGCCTCGGGACGTTTTCGTTTCCTAAATTTGGATTCGGAAAACGTAATCAAAAACTCACGGCGCAGCAGAAGTTCCCTCTCGAGCAAAGGCTTTTTCAGTAGCGCGATTTTCGGCCTTTTTGAGCTTGTCCTTGTCAACATTCTAAAATTTATATAACACAGGAAAGATTGAGCTTACCGTCGGGGTATCACGGGTCTGCAGCTTCCAAATGCTCTCCCGATCCTTGTAATCTTCCTTCTGGGCGGCCATGTCGACCGTTTGCTCCAGTTGCCGGACAGCAGCTACTTGCTTCGCGGCCTTCGGGATGTTACTGAAAAAAATAAGTAAAGTGCAAACCAGATGTCCCTACTCTCCGTGAAGCAGCTTCATCAACTTTTCGCACACGCGGCGCGCAGCCTCATCCGGCAGGTCTTCGACGTTAGCCACGAGATGATCGCCGACAGCAAGAAATATTTCATCAACGGAGTACATCTCCTCGGCATTTTCTTTTAGAATTGCTGCAAAAAAAAATTATCGCAGTCAACGGTACCCTACCAGCCACATAATCCTTGACCTCCACCGGCAATCCCGGAAAAGAGGAGGCCAAAAACCCGGGTATCGCAGCAACATCCGCCATTTTCTAAATTTTCGATAAAAAACAGCAAAGCCAGCCTACCAATTATTGACGAAAAATTCGTGCCCGAGCCAGATCACGAACTTGAATAGGATAAACGCCGGGATTAGCGTCGGCAAAAGCGCACCGTAATACCACGCGTCCGAGGGGAATATCTAAAAAAAAATAAGTTGAAAAGGCAATTAGGTTTACCTGGGCTGTGTATTCGTCAACGAGACGTGTCTCTTCGACCATAAAAAGCCGAGCCTGAAAAATCGTGATTAGCCCCGGAACAACGTCATTCTGCACTGGACAAAGAAATAAAGCTTTTCAACGATTAGTCAAAGTAAAAAGAACCAATTTTTATAAAGAAAAATTTTTTTGCAATTTCTCAACGTTGAGCAATTACGAAAGGCTACAAGTGACACCCCTAGGCGCGGCGCGCGAACGTTTTTGAAGCTCGCCTTCACGACTCCAATAATATAAATAAAAAAAGTAAATTAATCTCTATTTCTAACATCTAAAAGCTTCTTTTCAACGACGGATGTCAAAAGTAAAGAAGCGGAGTGTCGCGCGATCACAGGTAAGAGTGAATTCCTTCTCACAACTCATGTTTAGGCTGAACCTCCCATCATCGATCTATGTTCGCCACCAACGAAAGAAGAGAAAACGCTAAAACAAGCGGTAAATTTTTAGTACTTTGTGTAACTGAGTTTAGCCACTTTTTGGACAACGACCCCCGAAGGAGGTGCAGCCCAACCCTGCAAAACGGCGGAAAACCATCAAATCCGAGCAGCCGAAAACGCCGGTATTTCTTTTTATCGTTTCTAAGCTATTTTTAAGAGAACAAGGGCTGCTGGGAAAGAAAATGCTGAAATTGCTGTTGAGGTTCCGGTTAAATATGGTACCCTATTTCTTTTGTAAAAAATATCCGTTTAGCGAATTTCGATCACGCACCATTGGCGACGGCGAGCTGCTGCTTTGATGAGACAACTATTTCTGTATCCAAAGATTGGACTGTGCCACTGTTGGCAAAGAAAACTAATTGGTAAGGCAGATAAAATTTTTCCAACCTTGTCCTAGGGTTGCTAAAAGTAAATGGCGATGGTCCGAGCTAAATTACAACGAGGATGTTGTAGAGGAGCCTTCCGTGTCCTTCGAAAATGCAGGGTACGTTTTGTAGGCTTGATTGATCAGCTTTATACTTTAGGGAGAGATCACGGAAGTTGGAAGAACAACTTTGGAGTGAAAAATTCGTGGAAGACAACTTTTTCTGTCCGGACGGGGCCGGCCGCATTGAAGTGAAGAGGGTTTTGGGGCTTTGGCATAAACGATTGTCGAAAGAAGGTTTGAAGTTTGTGGGCTCGACGAATATTAATTGACTTCAGAAAAGTCTTCTACGAAAACCACAACTAAGAAGAAGCGGCGCAAAGTCAAGGATTTGTCCGAAAGCGAGGAAGAGGTATTCGTTTTGTTTGTTCGCCTGGCACTTTGAAGAATAGTATGATTCTGACGGCGATGACTACAACCCGGAGGATGATGGAGAAGGTACCCGCATCGAGAATCCGATCTTCATTTGGGGTGCAGGACAATACAAGGAAACAATGGTTAGTTAGCACTTTCTGGCCCGAACATCCGGTTTTAGGTCTATTCACTGGCACAAGAGCTCGACTTCAAGGTTCTCGAAATTCATCCCGGAGATAAACGAGATGGGGAGAGTCTGAAAAAGCGAATACAAGCAGCCGCGACGAGTCATCGTGTAGCTTCCCCCCTTCGTTTTTTTTTACTGAAATTCTTTTAGCTTGACGTGCAGGGGCTTTCAAATTTCTTCTCAAACCCAGGCAAGCAGCCCGCCAAGAAGAAGCATACCATCATATTAATATCAAATGTTGGTTATTTTCCTTCGTGTTCGAAAAAAGAGTTAAGGCTGACATCATCTTCAGTATGGACCGAGATTTTGCGACTGCCGTCCAAACGGTGCTCCAAGATATTCGTGTGCCCGTCGTAATTACAGGAGACGTTGAGGTACCGTTTGTGGAAGTCTATTATATTTAATTTTCAGCCTGATTTCTCTTTCGATGATCACGTGAAAGCGCTGCGCGTTGAAGTTGGTAACATTGCTAATATCGACAGGAAATTAATACAGGTCGGCGCGGTTTTCGTTAAGTTTTATAAGTGATTTTTTTAGAAACTGGCTGCTCGCTATGGCGGAATGTCGATCCGCAAAGAAGATGCTAGAAGGCTTCTGCCAACTTTGCATGAGAGCGCCGAGAAGCTCGTGAATTGGCTACAGTTTGCTTGCGGTGCCGAGGGACCGATGCCGCTTCCGAAACTGCAGATGTAGATAAATGAGAATGGTTATAATAATTTTGGTATTTTCAGTGAAAATACTGCGAGCGATGATGCGACAATTGGATGGGAACTGGAACCAACCCTTCCGCTCAATTACGATTTTCACGAATGGGCACAAGAAAAACGAAGGCGCTATGCGGAAATGCGGCCTAGGCATTATGTATGTTTTTATTATACCCTTGGGCTCGTAGTTTTCTAATGTACATTTTTTTTACAATTGTTCGAAACTGTTTTTGACGATGCCTAAAACTTTGTAAATTCTGATCAAAAAATTGATAAAAATGTTGCTGTGTCTTCACTGGGTAGTTAGGAAACACCCCCCCCCCCAAACACAAAAGAAGTTTCAACCAATCTTTTTAGGGAGAACTACGATCGGGACCTGTCACTGTTCAACCCCCACGACGATCCATGAGCAATTTAGAGGAGCGCCAAGTTTTGGTAGGGATCCAACTCGCTCTCCAGTACCTCGGCGGCACAAAAGGTACATAATTCAACTTTTTTTTCCACAATTTTTATAGACCTCTCGACCGATCTAATCCCCTGGTTGTGTACTATCGATAAGGAATGGGGCGAGCGAATGGCTGGAAATAGACGGTACTGTTAAAGCGACAATCCTTTATTTAATATTGCGTTTAGTGCACAACATTACTTCAACCGGGTCGACGAGCGAACGGGCAAATCCATCGACTGTAACGGCCAGTTGGCCCTCTTGCTGGGCGCCTTTAGATTTCTAAATTTGTGATATGTTGCTGAGATTTATTTCATTGCGGGCTGAATAAATTAGTTTGATTGCATTGTGTCGATGAAGCAATTTATAACGCACATCATTTTATACGAACTTTATGAATTGAATCTAGCTATATTTTGTAAATTCAAGCCGGCTACAGAAAATACGGTGCTTCCAAGCCTATACCCAAATTTGCAAATAAAATTAGTATTCAAAAATAAAATAACATTGTTATGAATTAAATAAAGTTAAAATTTTTAGCCCCGGGCGTAAGCCTATCGATATGGCCGATTTCCATGGTCGACCTCCGTTAGCCTAAGCCTAAGCCTAAGCCTAAGCCTAAGCCTAACCTAAGCCTAAGCCTAAGCCTAACCTAAGCCTAAGCCTAAGCCTAAGCCTAATTGGGGCAATCGTGGGGCCACTCAAGGGAAAACTTGTAGGACCCCCTCCAAACTAGTGGTCCAGGTGGGGGGGGCGAGTGGAGGAGCGTGCGAAGATCAGCTATTTTTGAATTTTAGGTCTCCTAGACGCATAAAAATTACAAATAGACTACCGTAGTTTTCGGCGAAAAATCGCATTTTTTAATTTTAATGGTGTTTGCAGGGCTTTTGACTTGTTTAATAACAAGGCAATCTAGCAGAAACCATTGGTGAATGGCATCTACGGCTTTCTCCGACCACTACCAGTGTCCCAGCTGCCGAGCCCGGAACGACGGCTACTGGGCGGTGCTCGTGGTTGATGTGGCGCGAGTCACAGAGGCCATGATCCAATTTCCGGCACTTGTGCCCTCCAGAAGCCGTCCCGGGCCTCGCCAATTTCGCGACCCATGTTGCCGCACTGACCACGCTGCTGCAGCCAAGTGTTCGGATTTGGTAGTGCCCCAACTGGAGCAAGATTTGTCGGAATTTCGATGACTTATGCCGGGCTTAGGCTTAGGATTAGGCTTGGCTTAGGCTTGGGCTTAGGCTTAAGCTTTGCGGAGGCTTAGACTAGCCCGCTTTGCCAATATTTGGAAATCGGTAAGTGAAACATAAAGTCGCAACCATTTGGGCGCTCTGCCCCAACCGGTCCCTCGGGTCAGCCAGGTGCACTTTATGGGTGCGCAACCATTTTGGTGTTCTTGCGTCCCCCGGCTGGCTGTGGTTCTCATGGATACCAAGTGCTCGAACGCCGCTACACCAATTGGCCCCAGGGTCCCCCCGGAAGACATAGAACCCCCTCATTCACACGCAAACCCCCCGATGGGGGTCGTTGGCTTTTTGATGGGTGCCCCGACAGTTTTCTTGACTTTTCTGCTTCTACACGGAATCCAACATTTTGATAGTGAGGCTTGTACCGAATCTTTTTGTGGGTCCACGATTTTGCAGCTTTTTTGGTTCTGGACTCTTAGCAGGCGTGGGGGGTGATTTTTAGCAGGGCGTAGACAAGACGCTCTGCTCTCACTTCAAGCGCACCCGACGAAGGCAGGAAATTTGGTTCTGGTTTGTTAGCGGGGGGATTTTAGCACAGGGCAAAAAAACACTTTTTATTTTTACTCCTTTTGATTATATATTATGTATTTTTATAGTATTTTTAGTGGTTTTTGATTGCTAGAAAGTTTTAACAAAATATTTTAAAAATGCGAAAATTTCGACGTTTTGGCGATTGTTCATACATTTTTGACCAAAAACCAAACATTTTCGAAAATTTTCTGAGTTTTTATTTCGTTTATCTAAAGACCAGGCAAAAAGCTTTAAAAATGTTTTATATTTTGTTATAGGGCCGTAGAGAATCACAAAGAAATTTGGTTCCCCTGCTAAAAATCCCCCCGCCACGCTAACAAGGAGTCGCTTTTAGGTGCTTTTGGAGTTTCGGGACGGGACCTAGCTAGTTCGATAGAGAAAAAAATTCTGAGCTACATCCCGTTTTCAAAAAGTGCTGATCGATAAAGCTGTTTTAGAAAATTTAATTTAATAAAAAATGTTCCCGGTGTCCGGACCCTTGTGGTGATTAGAGGTGATTTGCGGCGGTCGGATCGCCCTTGCCACATGAGGACTTCACGCGCCTTGGATCTCGTACTATGCGTGGCCAAGTGGCTAGTGCGTTGGCCTACGAGGTTTTTTTTTACCTTTTTCCACAAGTTCGATTCTTATTTACCGTTAACTCTTTGCTTTTTTGCTAATTAAAATTTTATGCACCGATAACGGGCTCAAGAACCAAAAAGCAAAGGGTTAGCCAGCGCGAAGATTCGAACCCGAGGCAAAAAAATGTTAAAAAGCCGGTAGGCAAGCGCGCTACCAATACGCTAATGCAACCTGTGATGGAGGCATTGGCGGAGGGTTACGAATGGCGCCCTGCCCAGCCCCGAAAACGACGCGAACCGAGGAAATGGACCTGAAAACCAGAAAAAAACGCGAACTTTAAGTTAAATTTTCTAAAATTCCTTTATCGATCAGCACTTTTTGAAAACGGGATGTTGCTCAGAATTTTTTTCTCTATCGAACTAGCTAGGTCCCGTCCCGAAACTCCAAAAGCACCTAAAAACGACTCCTTGTAAGAGTCCAGAACCGTTTTTTGCGAAAACCTTACAAGCCCGATCCATCAAGCCCCATATTGGAAATCCGGGGCCGATTGGCGGGTGCGTTTTTTTTGAGGGCGATGAAGCCCGTCATGGACGACTTCCGTGCCATTTCGTGGGCCTCGCTAGCCGGGGTGGCCCTCCAATTTCGAGCAGCCAAGGCTACCACCCCATTTATTGGCCTGGCCACAATCATTTCCATTAACGCCGCCCGGAAAGACATAGAAGCCTTTTTTCAAATTTGGCAGGACTAAGCCTTTAAAATTTGGAGGGGCTGATTCTGCCGGCGGTGCCGGTTCGACCGGAAACCACGGATTTGCCGTAAACCGGAGTTTTCGGTTGATCCGCGATCCGGGGGTTCTAAAGTTGATTCAACGGCAGGAAGTAGGCCTGAAAGGGATGCCCAGGCGCATTTGAAAACCTCGAAAGGATGGTGGAATTATCGGCACTTGTCCGGGGCGCCGGGGCCCGATGGCTTGGCCACTTTTAGAGTTTATTCAACTTTTGCTAGGCACTTAGTAGTAATAGTTTTTGACGATTCCTAGTGGGGGCCCTGGTTTGTTAGCGGGGGGGAGGAGTTTAATGTCGTAGATTTTTCAGAATTTCATCTTTTTGGGGAACTAACAATTTGTAAATTTTCGCGACCGGGTAGAGCATCCGAAATGTATTAAGAATTTTAATTTAGACCAAATCACAATAATTTAAGAAAATTGTAACAGAAACAAAAATAACCCTGAAAATGGGGTTGGTAAGCATTTTTTCGGGATTTTTTCTTCGAAATAATTTTTGGAGATTCTGTTGATGCTATTTCATTGAGCACCAAAAATGACTTCCGCTTTTCAACCTCCCTCTGGTAACGCAAGCGTATTTTTCTTGATTTTATTATTTCTGTTGTTGTTTTTGTTGATGCAATCGTTAAAAGCCCAGCCGCACTCCCTCTCCACGCTGCCCCTTCACTCAGGAGCCATGATTGAGAGTTTATGCCCGTAAAAGCGTGTCCGTTGAGTGCCCCCTCCCCCCTCTAGGGGTGAGGCCCAAATATGGCGCTCTCCATCCACTCCCTCCATAATTTATTCATAGCGACGGCCAGGGGGTGGAGAAGTAGGAGATGGGGGAGGAGGATGAGGAGGAGAGGGAGACTCTCTGCTCCCATCACACCCTTTCATCTGCTTCCTATCTCGCGACCCCCCTCTTCGGGTTGACGCCTAAAAATTTCTAATAAGGCTTTAGCGGCTGGGGTCGGCTGGTTAGAGCGGGGGATTTCCTTGCCATTTCTTAGGAATCGCGTGTCCCTCAAATGAGGTCCAGCCCAAGTCGAAGTTAAGAAGCCTGTCCGTAATAAATAATGCAATTTTGTAATTTTCATAGTAGTTTTTGATTGCAGAAAATTACAACATATTTAAATATTTTCGAAAATTTGAAAATTCTGACGATTTTTTGTGATTTTTCATATATTTTGGTACAAAAAGTCAAAAGCTCTAAAAAAGATCTAATTTTGTTATAGCACCGTATAGGACTACTGGGAGAACCTAGTTTCCACATCCTTTGAACATCCCCCCCCTGCTAACAGAACAGTATCCCTATTTTTGTCCAACTACTTTGTGAAATTTTACGACAGTTGTGTGCCGCTTTAGGGCTTTTTGGATGGTATAATGTTTATTGAGAAACCTAGGCTTGGGGTTAATCTTAGACTTACTTTACTGTTTTTTTGTTTTAAGTAGCGCCCGATTTCCCATCGCTACGGCTTGGACGTCTCATTTGTGGTGCTCCCGAGATAAATCAGGGCATTCCCATCCTTCTCGGCCACAACCCTCTCGCCCTCGGTGCCCAATTAGATGGAGGAAAGGCGAGACTTGGACATCCCACTCCCCCGTCTGCCCTTCCCGGATGTCAGGCCCTGGATTCGCCTTCTTCAGCTTCACCCCCCAGCATTAGCGGCTAATTTGCCCTGCCTGGGCAAGGCTCGAATGCCCAGCATGGGTTTTGCCAAAAAGCCAGAATTTCCAGAAACTCAAATCTTGTAAAATTTCGTAGCCCATTATCTCGCTCTCTCGCGCGCGCTCTCTCTCTCTCTCTCTCTCTCTCTCTCTCTGTCTGTATGTCTATTTCTATCTCTCCGCCTCTCCGTTCGTTCGGTAGCACAACCAGTTTGCCTGGCGTGAATGTTTGGTGGTGGACCGGGGGCCCATTTGTAAGTGTCAGTTGGGTGGGCCCTACTGGGCCCTCTCTCCGCGGCCGGAAAACGGCTGCTACTGCTGAACGGGGCGCAACCAGGGCCCCTAGATGGCAACAATACACCCCCACAAACACTACGAGTACTGGGTTCTGTTGCTCGAAACTCTCATTTTCTGACGCTCTCTGTCTCTCGCTCTGTCTGTCACTCTTTCACTCGCTCATCCGGGAGGATATTTCTAAGTAAATCATAATTTTTCCCATAATTTTCGTCTTGGATAGACTGTTGTCAGTTAGATTAGGATGAGAATACCTGGAGCGCGTTTAGATCTTTTTCCTGAAGGTGTAGCTTTATCTCTCTGTCTCGCTCTCTCCCTGTCTCTCGCTCTCTCACTTACAAACTTGCGCTTTTTCTAGCGTTACCCCCTTAACCCCATCACACCAGCCGGCTCCGGCTCCCCTGGGGCCCTTGTTTTGGTTGCTTTTCGAACGACTCTAGTGGTTTTACGCTGAGCTTATCTACAAAGTATAGAAGTATCACATCAGGATCTCTTAAGATAGTTGTCCACTAATGCTTAGACTTAGACTCGGGCTCAGGCTCAGGCTTAGCTTGGGCTTGGGCTTAGGATTAGGCTTAGGAGCGGCGTAGGCTTAGGCTTAGGCTTAGGCCTGGGTTGAGCTTAGGATTAGACTTACCATTACTATTACTACTACCCTTGTTAGGGTTGAGCTTGGCTTGGGCTTAGGCTTAGGCTTAGGCTGATACTGGCGCTTAAGCTTAGGCTTCGGTCGAGGTTAGGCCTGGGTTAGGCTTAGGCTAAGGACTTGCCTCTCATTTACAAACTCGCCAAATGCGCTAAGCAGCCGCCGCGTCTTTGCTTTTTCTTGGGGTCCCATTTGTGGGTATTGGGCCATAAGGGTTAGTGAAGGCGGTGCCACCTGAGGATTGTGGCCCTCTTTTTGGCCCTCACCGAATGTCTCGACCATCATTCCCTATTCAAAGCCGGGTCGCAAGGCCCTCCACCACCGGCCAACACCCATTTTTCTCACCTCCACGCGGCGAGCAGGACCAAATTGCTCCCCCACCCAGGTTGTTCCCGCGAAGCATAAGCCTAAGGGGCGTGTGGGAAAGCTGTAGGACATCGATTAAATCTGTGTTTTTTTTGATTCATCGGCATTAAAGCTGCTTACCTGGACTTGTCGTTTAGCGGGGCGGGGGGCAAATTTTGTCTATAGTATCCTAGGGGGTATTTTAATCGCGTTTTTAGTAAAATCAAACTAGATTTCAACTGGAAAACGATCTAAAAATCCCAAAAATTCCAAATTTTGGTCAAAGACGGCTATTTTTGCTCGAAAAATCGATATAACTTTGTTTTTCGTAATAAAGACGTGCGAAATATTTATGTTTAGCAATATTAAAAATTTTTAAAAAATACCGAGTTATAATGGAAAAATTGGATACTTAGAAAAAGTTCTCCCCCCCAGATAATGCAAAAGAACCGTCAAAATTTTCCACTATTTGTTGCCATTTTTCAATCTCACTGGCGCAAGCTATTGAGCACGATCGTTGCCCTCCAAGACCCTTTGATGGACATGCGATTATAACTTCCCTGAGCTTTCGGAAAGAATTTTCGGAATTAATCCCCTGCCTACCCTCTTTCTTCTCATTCTCAAACTGCCACTCACTTTCCAGTCATAACCTTGAAGATGTACAATTTTTCGTTGCAGAAATGTGCGCGGGAGATGCTCCTTAGACTGCTACTTTACTGTATTGGCGGTGAGTTTTTGAGGTCATAAAACTGCTATTACGGTAACGACCAAATCACCGGCATTTTAGGAGCCCTCGCCTCCTTCTTGCGGGTCGAAACCGGACACCGGAACATTCAGATTGAAGGCAGTGGGTTTTTCAAGTATAAGTTTGGATGTTTCGCGTTGCTTTTCTTCCGAAGGGGCTAATTTCAAAATGTCGACATTTCAGAATATCGAAATTCACAATTTAGCATTTTCATAATGCCGAAATTCCTAATACCGATTTTTTTTTGCATGGAATTCAAGGGTTTTTACAGGAAATTAGCTTATGTAAATGTAGACATTCTGCATTTCGACATGCTGCATTTCGACACTGAGAATTTCGGCATTATCAGTTTCAGAATTATTAAATTACGGCATTATGAATTTCGTCAGTAAATTCAAATTACGATAGCAAATCGTCCCAAAGCCTCTTTGCTAGCCTACCTCTACCCGGGCTCCCCGAGCCCGAAAAACAAAGCTGTCGACCAGGATTAGTATGCCAGAATATGATGGGGCCGGGTGGTTAGGATGTGCAAAGAAGAAGCAAAGAAGCCGCGTCCCGGGGGGGAAGCATCATCGCTCATCCTCGCCGACGCAGAACATCGGAATCCATTGCTGCCCAACGACACCCCCCTTTTTATTGTATGCCTATTCCATTGGCGGGAGCGGGAGGAGACAAGCATTGGACCCTTGTTTTTCATTGCCAGCCTGGGGCCCATGAAGTCTAAGGCGGTTCTTTCGCATTATCGGGGGGGGGGGGAGAGAAGTTTTTGTCTGTCTAGAAATGCCTAGTAAATTTATAGTTTTAACTACAAATTTGTAAATTTTTCACGTTTAAGGATAGTAAAAAAACCATTTAGAAACACTTCACCATGCTATTGAAAAATTAGAAACCACCATTGAAAAATTAGATGCTAAGAAAAAATTTGGTCCGCCGGATTTAGATCGATTAGATTGGATCCTAGAAAAAAAAAGTTGGTGCTCCCCGATAATGCGAAAGAACCTGGTATGATTTGATATCATAATGTCGAAAATCAGAATGCTGGAATTCATGAGTACCATCCAGTACCAGATGTTTTACAAAAACTTTGTGAACGCTTCTCCCCGCTCACCTGGAGATGCCTGCGTTGCAAAAAAATTATGACTTTGATACTGCCAGAAATTCCGATTTCAGGAGACCCCTACCCGGGCCACTTCACAAAGGTCACCTTCACCGAGCAGACATGCATACGTGCCGTCTCCATCCACTGTCTTGTCCCGCTGACAGGAGCTGAGGAGATGTCAGTCGAAATTTTTACCATCCCCAGTAACTTTTTCTTAGAGATCTCCTCTACTCACCGTGCGAAAATGAACAATGGCGCGTGGCGCACTATAACAACAAGGAGGCCAGGTTCTTCCTTAAGGCATGTATCGAGTATCCGCCTTAAACTAGATTTTTAGCAACAAATCGTCGTCAAGCAGCTGAACGTGGCCTCGCGGCTCCCAGTGTCTGTGGTGGATCTGCAAGTGGAGCCCTGTTTCCCGGAGACATATCAGTGAGAATTTGTTCTTTTTTGACTCCCTCTCTCTCACTGGCTCTCCCTAGCTTTGGCTCGCTCTCTCGCGCTCGCTCTCTCACTTTATCCTCCCCCTTCTCTCTCTCTTTCTCTCTCCTCTCACTCTCTCTCTCACTGGCTCTATCTCGCTTTCACTCTCAAGTCCGTAATTTCCTTCAGAAACATATCATGCCAAGCGCCACGACGGCACCGACGACATCGTGCTCCCTTCCCACTGAGGGCCCAAGAAACCGGCCCCGTGAAGAAGAGGACAAAAAGGTGTGTAGATTACCGTTGTTTGTACATCTACTACTTCCATCGCAGGGCAGCCGACCAAACACCCGACAAGATCTATTCCTTGTCCGACAGCCCGTACCGCATCGACGAAAATATCACCGTCGCCCGGGGGCAGCGCTTTGACGTTGAGCCGGGCGTCCGGATCACCTTCGCCCCAAACACGGGCATCCTGGTTTACGGTTTGTAGCGAACAGCTAAGATTCTTTTCAGGAAGATGACCAGTTTGACGACACCGTTTCAGGGACTTTGTACATAAAAGGCAGCCTCGAACAACCGGTGTATCTTGAGGCGGCCGAAGCGGGATCCTGGTTGGGGGTGATCGTCTCGAGCACAGGTTCACATTTTACAAAAACCGTTTTCAAGCGCTTGTTACAGAAGCGCCATCCAGTTTTACCTATTTGAATGTGAGCGGCTCGATTTATGGCATCACTAGTGAGTTTTGGAGTTCTTTTTTCACCGGAAAGACGCTGGTTTGAGCCCTGTCCACGGCAGAACCCTCCTTTTCTAGAAGCATAGGTTTAAACCCTAAAAAGCGCTCAAGATTTGCAGCTGATTTTTAGTTCGCGACTCGCCCAGCTTCCCAACATTCGACCATGTGATCGCTGACAGCAATCGGAATGGGTTCACCTTCGAGACGAGCAAGGTTGGAGGATGCCTTAGGCTTGGCTCAAGCTTAAGCTTTGACCTAGGCTTAGGCTTTGGCTTGGGATTAGGCTTATGTGTAGGCTTAGGCTTGGCTTGGGCTTGGGCTTAGGCTGGGCTTATGCTTGCGCTTGGCTTAAGCTTACGATTTCGAAATTATTTAAGACCCTAAACCGCTCCTTCCAGACGCCGGCCACCGACGACACCCCGCTGCGAGTCTTCAAGGCCTCGGCTGTGCATTCAGCCGAAAATGGCTTCAATGTCGTGGGAGAGGTAGCAGATTTTGAAGATTTTCGCATAGGGATTTTATAGAATGCTTTATATCTGCTCTGTTTTGTTTAGTTCTCGAAAAAATGACTGGCAAAGGAGCGGAACCCCCTCAAAAAATTCAATAGTTTCGATTTTCGAGCTATGATACTCCAACGTCATTAAATTTCGATGGCCTGTTAGCAGATCTTTCCGCAGATCCAAGCCTCTGTCCAAGCGGAAACCTATGCCCTTTTTCAGGCAACGATCGAGCCTACCCCACTCGAGCACCACGAATAACCCACCCACCCGCACCCACGGTTTTTCACGTCTACTGTTCACCACTTTTGCCACTCAACAACTACAGGGTGTCCCAATAAAAACATCCCCCTCTAACTCGACGAAGAAATGTAGGATCGGAACGATAGTTACACCATTCGAAAGCGCTTGAAACGGCGAATTTGCAACAATTTTTTAAAAACCATGTTTTTATTGAAACGGGCTATTTTACAAGCCATTTCGTAAAATTTTCCGATTTTTCGCGGTCGCATGCGAGCTAATTTACCTCAATTTCTTCAAGGAAAATGACCGGAAGTGGCCGTTTTAATTATTTCTAAATGCGCTCTAAAGTGGCACGATTATACAAAAACACAATTTTCAAAATTATTGCAAACTTGCCGTTTCTAGGGCTTTCGAATCGTGTAACTATCATTCCGCTCCGGTACTTCTGCATCGAGTTACAGGGTTTTTTTTGTTGGGACACCCTGTACCACCACTAATATCACTCGCGCTCCGTTGTGACAATCACCAGAATTTTCTCGTAGTCTATTCTCATTTCAAAACCTTATTTTACCATGGCTCTTCTCCGCGGAATCTTCGCCTAACCAGAAAAAGTACCATGTTGTACACCTCTCCCCGTACTGTCCCCGTGTTTGTGATTGGATGCTGGCGTCTATGTACACCCCCCCCCCCACGCTTTTCTCTACAGCAAAGCTATCTGAATAAAGAATTCTTTGCCCTGCCCGGGGGATCGTATTGTGGTCGTGAGAGTTTGCACCAAAACAGAGCAGCCGAGGGTTACGTTTGCAACCATTCAAAAAATTAGAAAAAAGCGATCGTAAATTAACGCCTCTCGAAGCCGTCAAATCTAGCCGCATTTTTTAGCACCTTTCAAACTCAAACGTTGAATTTCCAAGTAAATTTTTCATTTTCTGATTCATAGCTGGACGCATAGGTATCGAAATCAGCATTTTCGTCAAGTACATTTTCGAAAAATCGAAAAACCTATTTTTCTAAGCGATAATTTGCAAATAAACTGTATTTCGATTTCTTATTAATACGTCTAGACAACCTGGAAACCCCTGAAAAGATCCTAAACTTCAGACACCAATCCTGCTCGACGCCTGCCTGGCCGCCTCGAACCGACTTCACGGTATCTACGTGGAAAGGGTGTCGTCTATAGGTGCGTCTCGGAACTCGTGGTCCGGAAATCTATGTAATTCTTGCAAAAGACTTATTTTAGCCTTGCTCAACTCGCACGTCTTCTCCAATGACGGCGACGGGATCGTGTTCAACACCACGCAGGCCGTCAGCATCGCTAACACACTAATAGGGGCCAACGGGCAGCATGGGATACGCGTGCAGTCTGGCAAGCGTCGGTTTTCTAATGAAGCCTAAGTCTAAGCCAAGCGAAGCCTAAGCCTAGGTCTAAGCCACGCTTAATATTTCAGACTCTGCCCAAGCTGAATTCAATCTCCTCGGCGTCAACATCACCAACCACGCCACGCATCCAGCCAGTAAGCTTTTTAGGCAAGCTGAACCCATCGTTCCCTTTAGTCCGACTCGACGCGTGTGAGAACGCGGAAATCTACCTGAACTCGTGTCACATCTACGACAACCATGACGGTAACTAGACGTGGAGCTAAGATCCAACCCTTTCAAGGTGTTCTGGTCATCGACGGCCGAAGCGACACGTGCGAAATAAAGCTGTATCGCGGGAATTTTACGAGGAACCGAGGTAGAGGGAATTCGGTCCATTAATGCTGGAACCTCAGGCCCTGCGCTGCACCTGGAAACGTTGACTCACGGTACCGTACACCTCGAGCAGAACACGTTCGCCTCAAATCACATGAATGCTAGGGCGGATCGAGAGGCTCTGGTCAACGTGAATGCAGGACCAGGTAAGGGCAGGCTAGCAGAGATTGTTGAGGAAGTGGAGAGGGCAGACTAGCAGAGATTGGTGAGGAAGAGGAGAGGGCAGGCTAGCAGAGATTGTTGAGGAAGAGGAGATGGCAGGCTAGCAGAGATTGTTGAGGAAGAGGAGAGGGCAGGCTAGCAGAGATTGTTGAGGAAGAGGAGAGGGCAGGCTAGCAGAGATTGGTGAGGAAGAGGAGAGGGCAGGCTAGCAGAGATTGTTGAGGAAGAGGAGAGGGCAAGCTAGCAGAGATTGTTGAGGAAGAGGAGAGGGCAAGCTAGCAGAGATTGTTGAGGAAGAGGAGAGGGCAGGCTAGCAGAGATTGTTGAGGAAGAGGAGAGGGCAGGCTAGCAGAGATTGTTGAGGAAGAGGAGAGGGCAGGCTAGCAGAGATTCATGAGGAAGAGGGAGAGGGCAGGCTAGCAGAGATTGTTGAGGAAGAGGAGAGGGCAGGCTAGCAGAGATTCATGAGGAAGAGGAGAGGGCAGGCTAGCAGAGATTGTTGAGGAAGAGGAGAGGGCAGGCTAGCAGAGATTGTTGAGGAAGAGGAGAGGGCAGGCTAGCAGAGATTGTTGAGGAAGAGGAGAGGGCAGGCTAGCAGAGATTGTTGAGGAAGAGGAGAGGGCAGGCTAGCAGAGATTGTTGAGGAAGAGGAGAGGGCAGGCTAGCAGAGATTGTTGAGGAAGAGGAGAGGGCAGGCTAGCAGAGATTGTTGAGGAAGAGGAGAGGGCAGGCTAGCAGAGATTCATGAGGAAGAGGAGAGGGCAGGCTAGCAGAGATTGTTGAGGAAGAGCAGAGGGCAGGCGAGCAGAAACCTATTCCAGAAACTTCCATCGTCATCACCGACAACAACTTCTTCAAAAATACGATGGAATCGTTGCTGAAGTTGGCGCAAAGTGGTAAAAAACATACCAAAAAACTTTAAATCCTTTTAGGCCCCGCCCCGCCCTCTACTATCATCAGCGGCAACAACTTTTTCGCGAATCTCGCATTTAACGTCATCTACGCCGACGTGGTGGCCGCGAACATCTCGCATAACTATTTCAATAATCAAAGGGTAATTCCGGGAATTCCACAACGGTCTCTGCTAGCCTGCCCTGAATGTTTTAATTTTTTAGTCGAATTGCGAGGTGACGAGCGGCCCCAGCAGGAAGCCATCACTTGATGATATCCGGCTGAATCACTGGGCTCTCGGCTCCGAGAAGGAGGTAAATCAAAGCTATAGAAAACATACAATACTACAGATTTTACTCCGAATCTGCGCCATCAGTGCCGACGCGAACTCGGCGGCCCTCTATCTGCCGTTTGCCAACTACACGGGCGGACTTTTGATACAGGGTAAGTATCAAAATCTTCCTTCACTATGCCTCGAAGTAATTAAGAAATTTTATACCTTACGGAAGACGAAAAACGGAAAATACGGAAAATTAAAATTCTGATTTTATAAAAATTAAGAAGTTTTTAATACCTTTAGACAATCAACCGATTCCTCCCTTCACCCACCTCTACAACACGATCCCCAACAATGGCCGCGCTTATGTGTAAGTTTTCATTTTGCGTATCGCGCGGCTTACACCTAGGCTTAGGCTTAGGATTAGGCCTAGGATTAGGCTTGGGCTTGGGCTTGGGCTTAGGCTTAGGCTTATGCTTGGCTTAGACTCAGGCATAAGATTAGGCTTAGGCTTAGGCTTTCGTCTCATAACTAACAAAATATGTAATTTCAGCGTCTCCGAAAACATGACAATCCCCGAGGACAAGGTGGTCATCATCGAGCCCGGCGTCCAGATACGATTTCTAAAAGACGCCAAACTGATCGTGCTTGGTACGTTTTGTGCTTTAAACTTTTGTTTTATATTTATAGAACTATTTATGTGAGTTTTCAACGGTATATTTCAGGAAAACTATATGCGAACGGCTCGGCGTCGACACCGATAAAGCTGGGCGGGAGCCAAGAAGGGGCCCAATGGCCTGGGATAAGGCTGGCGCCAAGTAAGCCTTTCTAACGAACCCGGCAGGCTAGCAGAGATCTTTGAGGAAAAAATTCATTTAGACTCGACAGCCATCCTCTCTGGGGTCCAAGTCCAAGATGCCATCGATGGAATCGTTGTCGACACACCAAATATCCTTTTTGAGAATTTGAAAATTACAAACCCAACGGATGCCGGAATAGTGTTAACCAAAGATTCGGGTAACAACTTTAATTTTTCCTGATTTTTAGAAATATATTTTTTTATATAGTGTTACTTTAAAAGTGACAATTTATGCCTATTCTAGAGCCCGTCGTCGATCTGGGTGGTACCACGGTAACCGGCGCTCAGACTATCGGCCTTTACGTGGAGGAACGGGGAAAGGGTGTCAAAATTAGGTAATTGAATCACAATATGCAACATGTTTTCCTTTTAGCAATCTAAAAATTGAGCAGAGTGACGGGTTCGGTGTGGATTTTGAGAAACCGATGGGAAACGTAACGTTGGAGAATATTACGGTAAGCCTAAGCCTAAGCCTAAGCCTAAGCCTAAGCCTAAGCCTAAGCCTTACCCTAAGCCTAAGCCTAAGCCTAAGCCTAAGCCTAAGCCTAAGCCTAAGCCTACGCCCAAGCCCACGCCTAAGCCTAAGTCTAAGCCTGAGTCTAAGCCAAGCGAAGCCCAAGCCTAAGCCAAATCTTATTTCGCCATTCAGGTCTCCGGCAGCGGACCAAAATCTGAATTTGCCATCCGTGTCGTCGAGGACCCAGCGGTGAAAGTTGAAGCTTTAAACCTGATCAACGTTACTGTTTTGTGAGTTATTGGTTAGTACTGATACTCAGTGCGTACTTTAGGCACCAGAGTACGGGCCGTTCTGGAGTCTACTATCGAGGTTCCGCGCCGCAAGTCGACATCATTGGAGGGAGCCTTCAAGCTAACGCAATTCCGTCCCTAGACCTAGGATTTACCGTATGTCTCTCTTTCTCCCCTCTCTCTTCATCTCTCTCTGTCTCTCATTCTCTCTCGCTCTCTCGCTCTCTCTCTCGCTCTCTGTCTCAAGACGCCCTTTAGTGCGGCGCCGTTCCCTCCAACCTGCGCATCATCGGCGCAAATTTCGTGGAGAACACAGCACAACCGCTGAAGCTCGACCTCGGAGAATGTGCCGGGGCTCAGGTAAGTTTTCAGAAAAAGCTCTGACTTCTTTTTTTAGCTTCTGGCCAACTCGGTGGAGCGGAACAGTGCCGGGCCCGACGACGCGCTCCTCAAGATTGCGATATCGCCGAAAATTGATGTAGGTCTATGCCGAGGAGCAAGCTTAGGCTCAACTAATGCCGAATTCATACTATTAATAGAGTGTAAGGTTCTTTTTGCGTTATTGGGGGAGGACCCAAACTTTTTCGTATAAATCTAGAAATTCCCAGTAAATGGTAAAAAAGTGCTTTAATAACGCAAGAATGTATAACTAAAATTTCATTAAAAAACTATCCAAAAACTTTTAAAAAAGTCGAAATTTCGGTGCTATATTTTTATGTTTTTCATACAAATTCTAAAGGTTTCACGTTTAGGAATCGTATAAAACCATTTAGAAACTATTTATTATATTATATTTGAAAAAGATTTGAAATATATATATATATATATATTTGAAAATATATTTGAAATTATATTTGAAATATTATTTGAAAAATTCTTATCTAAAAATCAAAACTTCACTAACCCTATTTATATTTGAAAAATTCGAGTCTAAAAAAAAATTGCCCCCCCCCCCCCGATAAGGCGAAAGAACCGAATGTCAATTTTGTCATTGCTCTGTCGATGCCTTACCATCAATTTTAGGACAACCCCATCTCAAAAGTGGCCATATTCGCCAACAAATTCAACGGCAACACGGCGTCGCGTTCCACCCTCGAGCTAAGCAACGGTTCCGGAAAAAGGTAAGGGTCTATACAACCCACTTTGTGTAAGAATAAAGAAATAATCTCAGGTTCAACGGAACACTCTATGGCAACACTTTCACCGGAAACGCTAATAACGAGGCCGTGCTGGAGGTCGATTCCAACAGCTATAGGTAAGGCTTGTAGCTTGAATTTGGTAGCCCATTTTTAGAATCTCCGGCAACGAATTCCGGGACCCTCAGACTCCCTTTGAGGTCTTGTTCACCGGAGCTGGGGTTTGTAAGGCGTAGCGGAGGGTAGCTGTACTTTTCAGCAACTACACCTCGGCGACAATGTGTGGGGCACGCAGACGATTGAGGCGATTAAGCAGAAGATATCGTGCAGCGAGGAGCGACGGGTTTGTGATGGTGAGCAGTCGAGCTTAAGCCTAAGCCTAAGCCCAATCCTAAGCAGCCTCGGCCTAAACCTAAGCCTAAGCCTCAGAAGACTAAGCCTGGGCCCAAGTCTAAGCCCAAGCCTAATCCAAGCCTAAGCCTTAGCCTAACCTATGCCCAAGCCTGAGCCTAAACCCAACCTCATTTCAGATGGCCAAATCAGCGTCATCCCACCACGGGCTGTCCCGGTGGATCCGGCTACCATCCACACGCTCCCGGAAGGCACCGAAACGGCCTGTCCAGGGGATTGTGGCGGACATGGTACATGTACACGTCAGTTTTTAAGGAGCAAGATTAAAAAAGGCTTATAAGCACAATACAAAGAATTGTAGAGTCGCAAAAATTGTATTTTATAGTATCCGGCTGCCTATGCCAAGCCGGGTATTCCGGAGAGGATTGCACGGAGCTTCTGCCGGCCGTATGTACTGTCGAGTGCTCGCATGGCAGGTGAGAGAGAGCAAGAAGGAGCGAGAGAGAGAGAGAGAGAGAGAGAGAGAGAGAGAGAGAGAGAGAGAGAGGAGAGAGAGTTTGTGAGATTGCCGTCAACACATTTTTAAGCTGCATCGGCTCGCGCTGTGAATGTTTTGGTGGCTGGACCGGGGTAGACTGTTCGCTAGGTAATAACCTTCTCTTCGGACTTTCAAAAACAAAAATTCTGCAGAAATCTGCCCTCAACTGAAAAACTGCTCTGGCCACGGCTACTGTACCTCCAGCGACATATGCAAATGCGAGGAGGGATTTGCTGGTAATTACGCCGCTTTGAAACTTTTCTAAATCACACAAAAATTGAACTGGATACGTTCCAGGAAATGACTGCTCAGTGGAATTGTGCTCGACGAGAAACTGCGAACACGGATTTTGTGAGGTAGTTGTTATAATCTCGTTTTGGCTTCCCTGTTCCTTTAAAATCATCTTTTTTAGGCCGGCATCTGTAAATGTGAACCCGGATGGACGGGAAAGCACTGCAGCCTTGGTCTATGTGCCAACGAGTGCTCCTACAGCGGGATATGCGTCGGGCCAGCCCAATGCAAATGTTTTGCTGATTATACAGGTAGCTCATACCCCAGCATAAGCCCAAGCCTAAGCTTTAGTCTAACCTAAGCACACCATAAAATTTAAGGAACTAAATGCGAAAAGTGCGCGACTAAGGAGTGCGTCGGCTGCGAGCCGGACTGTAAGCACGGAGTATGTGATGCCGAGTCCGGGTTGGTTTCAGCATTTTTTCATCCATGCTAAGGCTCTTTTAGCACTTGCCGATGCACCAATGGCTGGTCTGGGGCGGCCTGCGATGTTTGCGCGACCAATTCCTGCCCCACCGACCCCTCCATTTCCTATATTCTGCCCCAAACGGCGGATGTTGGCCAGGGAAATGGGATAGTCAGTGTGTACGGCCAGGATTTGCCGAGGTACGTGGTAAATTTCTTCGACAAACGTTTATAATCCTTCATTTAACGTTTCTAGTGACGCCACCTATCGCTGTCTCTACGGTACTTCCACAGCCCCCGGAAAATACATCAACAGTCACCTCGTCAGGTGTAGCCTACCGGAAGGTGGGTCTCGGCAATTTCTGCTCGCCTGCCCTCTCCTCTTCCTCAACAATCTCTGCTAGCCTGCCCTCTCCTCTTCCTCAACAATCTCTGCTAGCCTGCCCTCTCCTCTTCCTCAACAATCTCTGCTAGCCTGCCCTCTCCTCTTCCTCAACAATCTCTGCTAGCCTGCCCTCTCCTCTTCCTCAACAATCTCTGCTAGCCTGCCCTCTCCTCTTCCTCAACAATCTCTGCTAGCCTGCCCTCTCCTCTTCCTCAACAATCTCTGCTAGCCTGCCCTCTCCTCTTCCTCAACAATGTCTGCTAGCCTGCCCTCTCCTCTTCCTCAACAATCTCTGCTAGCCTGCCCTCTCCTCCCTCTTCCTCAACAATCTCTGCTAGCCTGCCCTCTCCTCTTCCTCAACAATCTCTGCTAGCCTGCCCTCTCCTCTTCCTCAACAATCTCTGCTAGCCTGCCCTCTCCTCTTCCTCAACAATCTCTGCTAGCCTGCCCTCTCCTCTTCCTCAACAATCTCTGCTAGCCTGCCCTCTCCTCTTCCTCAACAATCTCTGCTAGCCTGCCCTCTCCTCTTCCTCAACAATCTCTGCTAGCCTGCCCTCTCCTCTTCCCCAACAATCTCTGCTAGCCTGCCCTCTCCTCTTCCTCAACAATCTCTGCTAGCCTGCCCTCTCCTCTTCCTCAACAATCTCTGCTAGCCTGCCCTCTCCTCTTCCTCAACAATCTCTGCTAGCCTGCCCTCTCCTCTTCCTCAACAATCTCTGCTAGCCTGCCCTCTCCTCTTCCTCAACAATCTCTGCTAGCCTGCCCTCTCCTCTTCCTCAACAATCTCTGCTAGCCTGCCTTTTAAACCAATTATGTAAATTCCAGACATGTCACCCGGTCGCCACGTCTTCAGTCTACAGCCTACAGGCTCCCTGCAAAACATTGGCGGCCACGGGCCCGTCCACTTCACCTTCACCGAAAAGGCGCCCGACAGCTGCAAGGGGGCCGCGCTAGGCCCGTTGTGCGTCTGCGAGCTAGACCAAACTGGGCCTTTTTGCTCGACGGTACGTTTTGTCCAACCAAAAAAACATCTATTCCCTGTGTGCGTTTCCAGGTTGAACTGCTCGCCCCGGTTGACCGGACCTTTATCAAGAACCAGCGGGCGAACGAAGCCGTTGAAGGGGAGCCGTATGTCGTGCATCTTCCAGTGGTTGTACGTGTTTCTGAGTTCTAAATGCCTAAGCCTAAGTCTAAGCCCAAGCTTAAGCCTAAGCATAAGCCTAGCCTATATTCAGCCCAACTCGGTCGTCAAGCTCTCCTCGACAGCCCCCGGCTTACGCTATGATGCTGGTCAGAATACGGTAGAATGGGACCGGCCTCTAGGTATTAGGGTTTGCTTCTAAATTGCTATTTATACCACAGGCTCTTCCGAGGCTTACCAAGTGAAGCTCGACGTGTTGACCCCCGCCAAATCCGAAGCTATCGATTGGGAAATTGGGTTTGGAGGCCTTGAGAGCCACAGTATAGTCTTTTAGTGTTCCGCCCAGCTACCAGGCTACGGTCGAAGGCACCGAGGTTGTCGGCAACACGCAGAAACGACGGATTTACGGGCGAATAGACAAGGTTTGAAATACAACGAATGAATGTTAAGCATAGGCCTAAGCCTAAACCCAAGTCGAAGCCGAAGCCTAAGCCTAAGCCAGAGGCTAAGACCAACGAAACCAAAGCCGAAACCCATATCTATGCCTAAGTATAAGCCTAAGCCTAAGTATAAGCCTAAGCCGAAGCCGAAGCCTAAGCCTAAGCGCAAGCCTAAGCTTAAATCTAATCCTCAGCTAAACCCAAAGCTTTAGCCGCTCGCCAATCGCCCGGTCGCAGTCCGTATCAGACGCCAAGATGCTGACCTCGGCGTCGAGGAGTATACGGTAATGACGGGCGAGAGCGGTCGCTTCTCCTTCGAGTACACCCCACAATATGGAGGTGTTTATGCCGTGGTATGATTTTTTTAAGGAATCCTCAATTTTCTTCTAGGCCGCCCACCATCCTGGCGTGAAAGTTGACGATTGGAGCAATGGAGTTGAGCTATCCTGGTCCAATCCCTCGGTCAAGGTCACGTATCACGATCGGTAGGTTTAGAGCTGTTGTACTGCTCTTAAAACGAGCGATATCTCTCTTTTTCAGGCCATCGATTGAGGAGCTGAAGCAAGGGCTGGAATTTGAGGTCCAGAATACCGGTGACGGCGTGCTATCCGGCTGGCAGGTACAGACGGTCACTGAGGGGATAGCTGTCGCCGAGATCGAAAGGGTCAGTTATTTTTCCGAACTTTCCTTATATAATTCTAGAAATTAGTAAAAAGTGTTTTCATAGTGTTTTCAGTAATATATAGCTATATTTCAACCAGTGAAATAACTAAAACTTTTAAAACGGTGGATCTTGGTCAAAAACGACCATTTTCAGTAAAAAAAAATTGATTTTTTTGATTTTTTAATACAAATGTTTAAAGTTTTTACGGTTAGGAATAGTAAAAAATGGATTTAGAAACACTTCTGCTAGTTATATTTGCAAAATTAATCCTCAGAAAAAGGTTATATTATTGTTCTTCCAGATACCACCCTCCATCGCACCCCGCGAGGCGGCACGCATCATTGCGAAGTTCGACGTGGAGGATGGCTTCTCCGGGCCGATTACCCTGATTTTGGTAGCCGATGGGGGTTTTAGCTATGTAATCAGGTAGTTGGTTGCTTTTTTCTAGAATTAATGATATTAAGATGCCCTTCAAAAATGTCGCTTTTAGACTGGAAGTGACTACGAAGAAAGCGAAAGGTATATTGACGGCAATTCCTGAGTCGCTCGTTGTGCCGCTGGTGTATAATGCACTGCCGACTATACAGGTAGGTATGGCAATCTAGCAGCGACTCTTGAGGAAAATTGAAACAGTGAAAAGAACACTTTAAGGTACGCCTCGATACCTCGGGCACGACCTTCTACTCGCCGATCGAGTTGGGCTACGACACCCGGCCTAGCCCCTTCTATTTGATCGGATCGGATCCACCGTTGAAGTGAGATTTAAAGTATTGGGATTTGGGCAAGCTAGCAGATATTGTTGAGGAAGAGGAGAGGGCAGGCTAGCAGAGATTGTTGAGGAAGAGGAGAGGGCAGGCTAGCAGAGATTGTTGAGGAAGAGGAGAGGCCAGGCTAGCCAAGACTTTGGATCCTCAACTCCTAGAGAAGCTCTGACAAACCGCCTTAAAAAACCCCAACAAATCATCGAATTTCAGCGACTACGCTGAGTATTCGAATAACGTTTCCGGACTGTCGCTGACCCTTGGCGCCTCGCCCAGCGGAAACAAGCAAAACGGAACTATCAGGATAGTCTATCGCACCGATGTGAGTTTTATATTTTATAGCAGAAATATTGAATTTTTCAGACGATCCTCCGCATACCGTACACCTTTTCACGGCGCGAGACCGAGCTGTTCAACCTGGCCATATGCCTGAAGGTTTGGTCAAGCTGGTAATTCGAGAAACTACTCTGAATTCAGGATGAAAACTTCCTAAACACCGTTTCCGCGGCCGCAAACGCCCAAATCGACTTGGTGAACAGCCTCAGCAAGGCGGTGATGAACCCCCGTGGTGCTGTAGTGAATGGTAAGGCTTCAGTCAATCTAAAAGCCGCTTCAGGACCCCCGCAAATCTTCACCCTCTACCCCGGCTACTACCAGCTGACCATCTACTCGGATTCGCATCAGAAGTACGAGGAGCCAATCTTGGTATGGTTGCTTCGGAGGGTCTAAGTCTTTAGGCAATCCCGTCCAACGCTTCTTTCTGCGTACATCTCCGTACAAAGTCGTCGAACGTCATGCCGTTCCTCGGGGCGGATGGTTTGTCGGTTGGGAAGATGGTGGTTTCAGAGGTAAGAGTTTCAGAGGTTTCAGAGGTAAGAGGAGGATTTCAGAGGTTTCAGAGCGCAGGCTTAAGCCTAAGCCTAAGACCAAGCGTAAGCCTTGTATAAGCCTAAGGCTAAGCCTAAGCCTAAGCCAGCCTACCTATACCTTTCAGCGCTCCCCTCTTCCTCAACTCCTCTTCGACCCTTCAGTGATCCAGATCGGAACCTCTGAGCTCGAGCTCTACGCTGATGGGCCGGCTAGCAAGGACACGTTTGTCATCCTCGACGCCTTCGAGGACGACAATATAAAATTGGTACGTATGCGAATGTAAATTAGCATTAGCCCTCAGGAACCTCCCAAATCGGCGCTGGTGATGGGCGGCTCAACACGAGCCGAGTTGGCCGTCAAGCGTTCGAGTAGCTTGTTTGGGTGGGTCTTAAATCAAGGTGGTGAGATTTTGGCCATTTTAGCAACAGTGCCAAATGTGACGCAATACTGCTGCAAATCCCGTACCGTGTGGCCAGGAATGGATCGAGGGAAATCGGGCTTGAGGCTCAGCTGATATTGGCGAAGACGGAGAAGCCGAAAGTATTGTGCGACGGTAGGTTTACCGGTGAAAAATGCTAGAAATAAAGTTTATGCGAAGCCTCCTAAGCCTCCTAAGCCTAGGCCTAAGCAAGCCTAGAACCTATGCTTAAGCCTAAGCCTAAACCTAATCCTGACCCCAAAGCCTAGGCCTAATCTAAGCTAGCCTAAGCCTAACCCTAAGCCTAAACCTAAGCCTAACTGAAGCCTATCCGATTTTAGCCAACTTCGATCGAACCTCAGTCGCCAGCAAAACCATCGTCCGGTGCAACTGCGCGGCTGCCGTGCGGCGCGAGTGCCGGTAAGCCGTTTTCAAGGGAGCTTGGCAGCCATTAAATTGAAGTACCTAAAAATACCTCGAAACCTAAAATACCTAAAAATTTCAGCGAAAAATACGAGAGCCCAGTGGCGTGCGGCCAGGGCTGGGCCAAGATTGCCGACGACACAACATCGCTTGAGAACCTCGCTATGGTAATGGTGTATCGGTTTTTCAAAATTTTGTTCAGATATTCCACCTTATCGCCGAGTGTCAACAGGTGCAAGTGCACTTTGAGGACTTGCTGACGTCAGTTAGGTAAGGGTTTCGGGTTTAAAGGGATTGGCAAGGCATGAAAATCGATTTGTGTTAGGATTTGATTTTTCGAATATAAATAGTGGAGGTGATTCTAAATGAGTTTTACTATTCCTAAACGTGAAAATTTTACAAATTGTTCAAAAATAGAAAAATAGGGTTTTGTACCAAAAATGGCCGATTTTTTAACCACAATCCGGGTTCTTTAAAAGTTTTTAGATAATTTTTCTGGTTGAAATACAGTCATATATTACTAAAGGCACTATTAAAACACTTTCGTTTAAATTACTAGGCATTTCTGGACTTATACAAAATAAATTTCGCCCCCCCCCCGATAACGTGAAAGAACCTGGATTTTTATTGCATGTATTGCATTTAGTTGTCTGGCCTCTCTTGACGCGACCTGCCCTCTGCCTCGACATCGAGCCAAAAGAGCTTCCATAATTCACAAAAATGATACTCTAAACAATGGAAACAAGCGGAAAACGAGGGAAATGGAGGTAGTGACCGTCACTCCATTAAACCATATTTTTTCAAGGTTTCCGAGCAAAATGACCCCTCCTCGGATGCCATCGACGCCCAGGCCATCTCTTACGCCGCGCACTTTATGCAATTTTTGCAGAATTTAGAGGTAGATCGCTTTGAAGGTATCTATTAAGCTTCATATTTTCAGTCAATCGTCCCCTTCGACCAACTCCGAGCGATCAGCGCCCAGGAGTGGAACAAGTTTTTCAAGGCGATCTCCGACTCCTCGGCCGGAGGCCCGGCAATTTGGGAAACCGAGAAGCTGGAGTTGGGCCAGAAAGGTTGGAGTGGATTTAATTTTTTGACAACTGGGGTTCAGGCTCGGCTGTCGAAAACCTGGCTGCGACGTGGAACAACTCGGTGACGGAGTGGACGGCGGGGAAGATTGTGCCGTTTGAGGTGGGGATAGCCCTAGAGGATCTCTGCTAAAAGATGAAATCAACTGATTACCTTACTAAAATGAGAGCTCCTCATCCTCAAGGGTCTCTGCTAGCTTCCCTAGCTCAAATTCCGGCTCAATGGCAAGGTAGCAGAGTTTCTTAGAATTTCCATGAAGCTATTGTTTTTTTCATTTCAGGCTCTCCCGAACCCGACCGTAATCTACGACCAAGTCCACCAAGTCGTGTCCTCCGCCGACAAGTTGAAGGCGCTCAGTCGACAGGTTTGCGAAAATTGAAAGACCTAAGCCTAAGCCTAAGCCTAAGCTTAACCCTAAGCCTGAGGGTAAGCGCAAGCCTAAGCCTATTCTGAAGCGTACCAATTCCAGGCCGGTGCGCCGAACCCATTCGCCCTACTACACGCCTATTTCGGCAAATTGGCAATGGGAACGGAAAAATCGGAAGACGCCTGTGCCGAGGCTTTCGTGCTCGTCGAACCCGACACGGTGGTGGAGAACGCGATGGTGACGTTGCGGGTGCAATTTAGGAACCTTAGGGTTAGTCGCTAAAACGGAGACAAGCGTCTTTTAGAGAACCTCCCTCACCGGGGTGAACCTGAAAATCGAGTGGATTCGGGCGGACGCGTATACACCCGAAGTTAAATTCGCGACCGGGATCTTTTCGTATACAGGTGTGAGAATTTCTGCCTGACTTCTCCTCTTCCTCAACAATCTCTGCTAGCCTGCCCTCTCCTCTTCCTCAACAATCTCTGCTAGCCTGCCCTCTCCTCTTCCTCAACAATCTCTGCTAGCCTGCCCTCTCCTCTTCCTCAACAATCTCTGCTAGCCTGCCTGTGACAAATCTCCTTCAGGCATCTTCGCTCTCGACGGAACTCAAAGCCTACCAGCCGGCACCTCATTCCGTGCCACTGCAAAGTACACAACGGCCCCCGTACTCCCGCTAAAACGGGACGTATTTTATCAGGTACCATCGATTATATCTTACTATTCTTGTCACCTTATAGCCGATCGTCGTCATCTCATTCGAAAACGAGGGCACGCGAACGATACAAAAGCTCGAGACCCCGGACTTGAAGATTACTCCAAAGCCAAACATACAGGTCAGGGAGACCCAGCCGGAATTTTGGAACGCGCACGAGTTTTGGATTTAAGCAATCTAGCAGGGGTTCTTAAGGAGCTTCCAATCTGTTTCTAGACCCTTTTTTAGGTCTACTACCTCCTAAAGTCCAATGGCGACGACTCGAAGCTGTTCAACATTACCGCAATTTTTGCCAACAAGGGGTGAGCCTTAGCAAGTTTTAAAGGGATTGAGAAGGCAATTGGTGAATAATCTTGTGATATTTGTTCAGCTACGTCCCCCTCGACAACGTGAAAGTGATCAACACCGCGTTGGAGATCCTGGGGCCTAACCTTGGCCCCGTCGGCTACCGCATCGAGGGCCTGACGGTGGATGGGACCCAGAGAAATGGGTATGCGTTTTAATGCGAACTATATTTTTGTATGTATATAAAAGTGGTCTTTCACACGTTATTGTGATTTAACACTTATTTAAGTAATTTCTATAGAGCGCTCAGCTACGAGCTCGGCACGATCAGACCGGGCGCTACGAAGACAGCTGCGTACCAAATGTCAGCACTGGACGTGGTAGGTGTGGGAGAATTGTTAATGCATAAGCCAAGCCGAAGCCGAAGCCTAAACTAAGCCTAAACCTAAGCCTGAGCCTAATACAAGGCTTACCTTTGCATTTATAGGGAAAACTCTCGTCAATCCGAGCCCAAGTGCTTGCTGGCGGCAAATTGCTACCCCTCGACGACAACAAGGCGTTCACGGTCAAGCAGCTGCTCAATAAAGGTATAACAAATTAAGAGAATCAACTGTATACCCTAGGTCTCCTCATTTCTCCGCTGGACACGCCGCAACCCGAATTCTTCTTCGACACCGCGACGGCCGACGTCACGAACCTGATTCATCTCCAAAATATTAAGGTACTCGCAGCGCACCGTAGTGCATAACGACGTTACACTACGGTCTATGATACCTCAAAATCTCCGGTATTCCAGACAACCAGCACCGATTCCACCGCCGACGGCCGACCCTACAAGCACATTCTGGCCGTCTTCTCCAACCCGGAATCGACGGCATTTTCCGGATCGCTTCTCGGCAAAGTGCAACTCCCGGCCATGCCATCAACTTTCCGCTTGATACGGTATCCCCGGCGCCCAATCTAGAGTTACCCCAATTTCTCAGGCTAACCGAGGTGGACGCCAAACTCTCCACTACGCAACGCAACCTGAACGGCGCCCGGTGGACCGAGGCTGAGGGAAACTCGCTAAACTTTATCGATAAGGAGGCGACGCTGCCGTTGCCTTTGAACACCATCTCCTACGAGGCCATCTTCGGGGACCCGGCCCAGTTTGACGAGCCGGTTTTCGAGAAGGGATCTTATCGGATTCAGGGTATGCAAATAGGGGTCCTGGACTGTTAGCAGAGGGGGGGGACTAATTTTTCCCAGCAATCCTATACGGTGCTTTAACAAAATGTGAACAATTGAATAGCATTTTACTAAGGTTTTATCTATAAAAAAAGGCATAAAAACTTACAAAAAATTTAAACTTTTTGGAAAAGGGAGCCAAAAAATTCCACTTATTCGAAAATGTGTAAAATATTTTTGTAACTTTTTAGCATTCAAAAATTACTAAAATCATCGTAGAGATACACTATTTACTATTAACAGGCAGGCCTAGGCGCAAAAAAAAAACTAAAAATTAGTTTCCCCCTGCTAACAGTCCCGTACAAAAACACCGTTTCAAAAAATAGCAAAAACTCGTTTTCAGTACTCCCGGAATCGTGGCCAACATCCGGGTCCAAAATTGGAAGTGTAGCAGCGTACAGCCCGGACGGCAGTCCATTGGAATACGCGTTATACAGCCGCACCGGTGATGCCACCTACGCTATCGACAGTCAAACGGGTCTGTTCTATCCTAGGCTACGCTACACTCCTCTAGACGCCTGCTTGACAAACTCCTAATTCAGGCGAGATCTACGCCGAGCGGCTGCCCGCGGAAAACCAGGACCGATGCCTGATCGTCGAGGCCAAGACCAAAAACGGCAAAATGTGAGGATGCTAAGGTTAGGGTAGACCTCTCGTACTTTCAGCGAGCGCGTGCCATTGACCATTAACACGGGCGGGTCCCAGAAGGGGTGTGTCGCTATCGATACCTCGGAGTTGAAGCCGCTTCTGCATTCGGAAAACGAAAATCCGGGTAAGATTACTTGCAAATTTTATACTTAAATATTAATGATTATAACGGACTGGCTCATGTCGAAATTCACAATGCCGAAATGTCATAATGTCGAAATTCAGAATGTGAAATTTCAGTATTACGAGATTCAGAATGTCGACATTTTTTTTGCATAGCATTCGGGGGTTTATCCGGGAAAATTATCTTATGTAATTTCGACATTCTGAAGTTCGGCATTATGAAATTTTGACATTGTCAAATTTCGGCATTATCATTTTCGACATTTTGAAAGAAACCATTATAACCCGACATGCATAACTAACTACCAACGAAAACAACCTCGGAACTTATCAAGGCATTTTGCTTCAGGGGCACCGACCGAATCCCCATGGAAAACGACCGGAACCTGGACAACTGTCACCACATCAAAAACGTACACTAACCACATATTAAAATATATCAATCTTTTAAAGCACGCAAACAGCTGTAACCGCCCCAACGACTGAGGCGACGACGAGTAAAGGCGATGATACAGACTGGGTTGACACTGATTGTAATTTTCCTATGTTTTCCTGATTTTTTTTGATAGATCCGGACACTGTTCCCAGCTCAAATACCTCAGAAAGCGCCGCGGAAACAACGGAAGCTCCTTGGGCGAGTTATTTTCGGTCTTCTCAAAATTTACAAAGGCGTTTCAAAATTTAGAAAGTTTTTTAGAAGAGCAAATAGGAAAACCAACACAGAAAACTAGCATAATGAAGCTTTTTAGTCGACATATTCTATCACGCCTGACACGGATTTACCGGAAATGAGCACTACGGAAACAGCAGGTAAGCTAGGATACGACTAACAAAACTTAAAAATCGGAAAACCCTTTAAAATTACTGATTACTTGCTAACGTTTAGAAACCACTACTGAAGAGTGGCCGGAGACGATCGTCACCGGACCTGATCAGGTTGGGATTTAAAAATCCCGATCCAAAACCCTAGAACTTTTTTATATCGATCGAAAACGAATTTCTAGGAACTGTCTACGATCTCGTATACATCTACAGACTACCCAGATACCCCAGAAGCCACAGCAGGTGCTATCTAAAACCAAATTTCCTGTAATTTTCATTAAGAAACAACGGAAACTTCTGAAGCCGTCACCTGGCCGACGATTCCGGTGTCCCCAGACTCAACGCCCGAAATTGTAACCCTCACTACGGAAAGAACAACCGAAACCGATTCCGAGCCGACGGTACGTGAAACGAAGTCCCGAAAATGGGTTTTTTAAGGAGGTCACGACAGAATCGGAGGCACAATCTACTCAAGAAAGCGCACAAACGACACTCGAGCCTCCGGAGCCAACAACTGAAAACTTTTACTCGGTTTTCCCGGATTCGACGCCGGCAACGGTCAGGGAAACAGCTTGAATCCAATCATATGCAACAATTCTAGCTGGAAACCGAGTCTACTCTTTCTACAAGTGAAGCCGAAACGACCATGGAACCAGAAAAAACCACGTTTAAAGAAATTGGTAGGTTTCTCAGCTCCAGAAATTAATGAACGTTTTTTAGAAATCTTCCCCGAGCCGCCGTTGTTCCCCGATGGAGATGATGAGTAAGCCAGTTTAATAACCAGTTGTTTTATGGTCCTGAAATCTTAAAAAATCTTTCAGAAGTGATCCAACCACTGGAAAACCCAGTCAATTCACAACCGGCCTGCCACTGCCAGGGGTTTGTTTGTGTGAGATTTATTTTAAAGGTGTCGGTTTTTCCAGCTTACTACAACTCTTGCACCTGACGACTATGTTGGTCAGGCCTGTGCGCGAAGATCACAGGTAAATAAAACTCAGATCAATCAATTAAATAAGGTATAAAATAAACAATAGTGTCCATTTCCAGGCAATCTGGGCTCTCATCTGCGACCTCGGCCAGCTGTCGAAGGACCACAAAGCCAACCCCATCGTCTAGCATTTCTTCAATCATCTTGGTGCTGCAGCTCACACATACTCATATCTTGCCATAACTTTGTGATAATTAAAAATAAAAATTTTAATGTTAGAACATTTATTCGAAAGGCTGAACATCGATAAAATAAGGGCAGGGCTACCCGTAAGATCAATCGGGTGAGGGAAAAAGGGCAGCATTGAAAACGATAATTTACGAGACGGTGCTGCGAGAGAAAGGCGAACAGAACAATGAGCTAGAATCAAGGAAACGATCAACAACGACAATCGAACAACTAGGAAACAAAAGAGTGATGCGTGGAACCAAAAATTACTTGAGCTTTTTCACGACCAGGTAGGCGCTGTCGGGCTCGATCCGCTTGTAGTACTTCTCCACCATTTCGCGCACCTCGAACCCGTTCTTCTTGTAGAAATCCAGGGCGGTTTCATTGTTAATCTAAAATTACAAGTAAACCTTGTAGAATATTATTAACAAACCTGCACGTGAAGGAAAACGTTCTCGATCACTGGGTCCTTTTTGCATATGTCAAAAATGTGGTTGAGCAGCATCGTGCCGACTCCGAAACCGCGGTACGGGGCCAAAGTGCCTAACGTCATGATGTAGAGGCTCTAAAAACAATTAATAGATGGAAAGCAAAAACGAACCTTCGCGTCTTCGAATTTGTCGTATCGGCAGCAGACGGCCCCGACAACGATGTCGTTGAAGTAGGCAAATTTGGCGAGTTCCCCGGCATTCACAATGTCCGTGTAGAATTTCTCGTTGTAGGAGACGGGGAAGACAGACTGAAAATCAGTTAATTCACACAAATAAGGGAAAATACAAAAAAAACATATAGAAAATCCCAACGAACCTGGTTAATCTCCTTTAATTGGTTGATATTGTGGTGCGTGATGTCGCCGAGCGCCAGTACTACCCTTCCCATAATCTTCGGCTTCTTCTCGCCGACCTTGAGACCTTCGAGCTCTTGCGTCGCAGCCGATGCCATCCCTCGGTCGAGGCCCTAAATTTCAACTTTAGCAACATCGAACACGCGTGAAAATTATGAGAAGACAGGAAAACAACAGCAAAAAATTCATTGGCAACGACAAGATCAAGTAAACCGGCTCTAAAGGATATATACATAAAACGGAGAATGAATGACTAGTTCTCATCGGGCACCGGCGTCAATTGAAAGTACTTGCAAAAGAGGAAATGCTGTACAACGGGGAATTTGAGCAGCACTTCTGCCTCGTACATCTTGAACAATCCCGAGTTGATCTTGTCCCAATTCGGCACCGCCGAGATGTTCCAAAGTTGATTTGAATGCTCGTAAAAGGGGCCCGTTTTCGTGTCGTTGATGTAGGTTATCGCTTCCAGAAACAGCGATTCCATGTCGTGGTCCTGCACCTTTTCGGGTTGCGGATAGTTGTTGGGGTCGAAATTCGAGCCGATTAGCTGGGATGAGCCCCAGAGGAAGGGCACGAATTGATAGTCGTCGAGGCTGTAGACTCCGTGCGAACCGGCCGGTTCCATCTTGTACAACCGTTGCAGATGGCGGCACGCGCGGAGGTATTCTCCAAAAATCATCAGGCCAACGGCTGGCAGATCTTCCGGCGTGAAGAGGCCGATCTTTTCAAAGCATAGGAGCAGAATGATGAATGCCGCCTCGTGGCCAGAGCCATAGTCGATCCGGGTTTGGTTCCCGAAAGAGTCCAGCAAATACGGCTCCAGCATTGCGGCAGCACCATCATTTTCCACTTCTTCGAGCACGTCATTGATAAGTTCCTTGGCGTTCTCCGTTAATTCCGCGTACCACTTGCGATATGCCTTATTCCCGTAGCGCTGCTGCATCTCAGCTTCCGGTGGGTGCTTGTCAGTGTAGCCCTTGATGACTTCCAGCATTGACATCACCTGAAAAAGATAATGAGCCTGATCTTTCAAAAGGGTCTGAGCTGTTCATGAATTATAGAGATACGAAATCAACCTTCTGAACACCAGGGCTTTGCGGTACCCATTGGCTCGTCTTCTTGCCGGCGACAGCATCGTTTACGCGGTGCAAAAAGTCGAGATAGTCACGGTGGGCCAGCGATCGCTTCCAGGCGGCCAAATCCATCGGTCCCTTGATCCATTTGGCGGCCGGTCCATCATCTGGGGCCCAACTTGGCCGAGGCGCGATTGTAGGTGGTTCCATTTCTGAAAACAAGCAGTTTCAGTCAATATTTCCTTCAAAAATCACAAGAAAAAGCCTAAAAAACTATCTAGAAACGTGCTGAAATAGATTTTCCCCTGGCCGAACACGCCAGCATAAAAGAGCGTCGTTGTTAGTGTGGTCGCGTAGTCGGGGCGCTGCCTGGTTACGGTGTTGAGATAATAAGTTAATTTTGAGCAAAATAGTAAAAATATAACGTTCAGGTTAGGTTTTGAGCTAAAGACGTATGTAACTACAACGGGTATACAAGTTGAAGTCAGAAGTGAGCCGAGATTGAGCTTGTTTATGCTGAAAAACGCTGAAAATCAGTTTTTTGTTTTGTTTTGTTTGATTCTTTAACGAAGTTATCTTTATTATTTTATCTTCAAGTTTCAAAAATGAGCAAAACACGCAGGATTTCTTATAGAAATTATTTAAAAGATAGAAACGGCTAAAAGTTACTTTTTTAAACATTTTTCGAATTTTTTAACAAAGCCAGCGTTATTACCTTACTTCCGATTGCAAAAACGAGAACAAAACACACACGAAATTTATGGTACGCCTCCATTTACGCGGGGCGCGCGCCCGTTTTACCCGCATAATCCGCAAACCCACTTGCCGCCCACGCCAAACGGTCGCCGGCTGATTTGCAAAATGTGGTATTCCCACAAAATATCATTTTTGTCGCTGCTTGCCAAAACCATGGGTTTCCTGAGGTACGCGACGAAAACATAGTCGTTCTTTGAAGATCGGATTAGGGGGGCCGAATTTTGGCACCCAACATCAAGGTGGATTCGAATTTTGGAGTGAGCCGGAGGGCTTCACTGGTTAATCCGGCCAAGTTCGGTTTTTAAAGGGGGGTTTGGGCCCTAGATTTTGCGCATTGTGTGCGTTTTAGTTTTTTGGAAACAGGATTTTCTTTGGCTCGATTGAAAACTTTTATTTAAGCTTTAGAAAGCTTTAAAAAAGCAGGAAATGGTTATAAAAACCTCCGTTTTAATCGAAGCCCTTGAATGTGGGTTTTTTTTTTAGTTTTTGGCGGCCGATACGATCCATTAAATTATAAGCCAACCGGCTTCTTAGGGCCGGGGTATACCTGAAAATATCGATGCCACTAGATACGACCAGGGCCATTGCCCTGCCCTGCGCCCCATATGATAAGCTATGTAAACGTGCGCCCCTTCCAAAATCTTCTCGGGCCTACAACTATCATATTTTGCATTGGGCATTGTCATTTACCACCCTCCCCTTAAAATCGGTATTTCCAAAATCCCGACAGCAAAAATGCCGACACGTTGAATAGCTGAGGTAAGCTGACCGGAAGCCTGACCGGAAGCGGTAATCGAACCAAGAACAAGAAGCTTTCGGTATATTGGCTGTCGGGATTATGGCTCTTATTCTCTTCAAAGATCCAAAATTATGCACATTGAAATTTTCGATCAACCTCGCTTTTTCGACAAAATTTCAATTTTTTTTCAAAATGTGGTTGTCACTTTTTGCGAACAAAGCTGCTACAAAAAATTAAAAGGCATTCGGGCCAAAGGCTAGATACCCCCTCTAAATCCCCCTCTCCCGCTAACAGCCTAGTACCTACATTTCGGTCTGACTCTTGTATGCGGCTGGTTTGACACTTCTGAAGCTTTTGCCTTGGCAGTGAAATCGCCATATTCAGCACCCCCTTCCCCATCAAATACATATTTATATAATAGATGTTATATATTTCTATATTTAGGGTTTGGGGGAGCGCAATATTGCCTTCTCCACCACAATCCAAATGCCGTCGCTGGATATGAGCAAGCGGTTCGTCGAATCGGGGGGTTGATTCACCCGATGTGCCCTGCGGCTACTGGCACGCAGGTTTTCGGGCTTGTAATATCGGGAATATAGGCGCGTAACGTACTCATGCTCGTGTTTTGCTAGCCCTGATATTGACCTGTATTTAGCCGGTTATAAAGGGGGATTTTCAGGGCGCAAATCTTCTATTAACAAATTCGAAGAATTTATTATGCAGTAGGATGGCAGCCTAAGCCGAAGCCCAAGCCTGAGCCTGAGCTTAAGTCTATGCCTAAGCCTATCCTAAGCCTAAGCCGAAGACTAAGCCTAAGCCTAGGAAAGCACAGTTGTTCGCTCTTGTCAACCTTAAAACAACTTTTTCAGGTTTAGCGCTATTTTTTCAAAGTACAAAAATACACTTTTTGGTCCCCTTTGCCATGCAGAACTAATTGCAATGGAGTGAGACAGGGCGAACGAACGGCTCCGCCTCGATCCTAATGACAGATGGCCCAGGGTGGAAGGGATGGGATTGCACCCCGAGACATTTCGATCACTACCCCCCCCACCCGTGGGTCCCAAGGGGGCCAAGGGCCAATCATCCCCCTCCGGGGGCCCATTCCCCCCTCATTATCCAAACCATCCATCCGGGGTCGGGTTGACATGTGCCATTTATTGTTAGGTGTCACCCCCACAACAACCCATCTATCATCTGACAGCCGGAGCTTTGGGTTTGGGCTTGGCTTGGGTTTGGCTTAGACATAGGCTTAGGCTTAGGCTTAGGCTTGGGCTTGGGCTTAGGTTTAGGCTTAGGTTTGGCGTAGGCTTGGCTTAGGTTTAGGCTTCAGCTTCTCGGCTTAGGCTTAAGCATTCCCGGCGTCTTTCCTCAAAAATCTCTCCCTCCCAAATGATCTCTGCAAACTGGCGCCCCACCTAGTATCCTCCGCTTCTGGGCTGATGAATGAATGATGTACACGCAACGTCCCGGGGGCTTTACCCAGGTCTCCCCATAGCTTACTGCTTTTGGTTGTTCTATAGAAACCAATTTTTAGGGACTTTTGCTGTCTCTACTGCCACAAATGACATTTCTTTCGTCAACCGGAAGTCGATGACACTAGCCAAAAAGCCCGATGAAGCTCAAAATTTTGTTATTTCGATTTTTTTCCACTTAGCACCCACTTCCGTGATGTTTTTGGGGGCTTCCCCCTGCTTGTTGTCACTCGATTGGCCGGGGCAGGGAATAAAATAAGCGAGTGCTCTGTCACAGGCAGGGGGGGGGGGGGTGCAGAGCGTTGGCAGGGGGCGAAACCCGATAAGCTCTCCTGTAATATACTGGCCGGGCCCGATGGCCCGGCCAAACCATTCCTGCCATCGATTCCTGCCACGAACGCTGGGAATTGGGGTTTTTTGGGGGTAATCATTACATCTGGGCTTTATTAACTGACATAAATCGGCTTGAAAAATTTTTTAATTCCTTAGGAATCACTGCTAGCATGCTTATATTTGCTATGAAACTGCCCAAAAGGCATGAGTCATTTTTAAAAGAATTCTCGACTTGATAAAATTCTATAATTTCTCTTTTAAAGGTACCTAGAAGGCAAAAGAAGCTTAGGAACGCTGAATTATTCTCTAGGGGCTCTGCTAGCTTGCCTAGGCTCATTTAAAGGAACCTGGAGGGCAAAAAAGCATAAGAATGCCGTGTAACATTCATAAAAATCCCTATTAGCATGCCTCAAAGGCTCTCTACAGCTGGCCCTAGCGAGCTTATTTCGAAAGTTCCGACCAACTTTTAGTTATTGCCAGAAATTCGACCAAAGTTCCCGATCCGTTTTCCATCTCTGTTTTCATTCAACCAAGGATTTCCGATTCTCAAAAGGGCTCTTATCTAAAGTGCATTATAAAATCTGGATTCTCTGCCAAACAGTGCTTGCCTGATTTTTAAAATCAAGGAGTATTTAAATCATTTAAAATGCTAGCCAGCCAGCGGATGGTTGATTTCCGCAAAAATCTCTGCTGGGTTGCCATTGAAATTTTAAACGGTTTTAGTAAGTTTTTCTGCACTCTCTGTCCCTCTCTCGCTCTCTGCTCTCTCGTTCGCTCGCTCTCTCTCCCCCTCTCTTCTGTCTCTCTCCTCGGAAGACCAATATTCTCAGAAATTTCCTAAACATTCTCTGTCAGCCATCCCTGTTTCTCAAAGGGGGCATAGTTAATTCCGGACAGCCGGCGGGCAGGACAAATTACCATATTAATAGGCGGTATGGGACCGACTGCCACACGGAAAGATCGGGAAAAATTAGGAGAAAGATGAGAAACAGTAGGAGGAGGAGAGTGGCAGGAATGGTGTGCCATATGGGAGACTCTTTTTGCATGGCTAAGGGCCCAAGGGTTGTGGCCAGGGGGGCCCTGGACTGGGGTGTCCCGGGGAATTGATTTCCAGTTGGATACCCTGGTTCGCTGGGGTGCCCAGTTGGACGTCTGGAACCCGCATTGGGCACTACGGCATGCAACTCTTTACGTTTATTAGGCTAGATAATTTCAAGGGATTTTTTGGCTGGGTTTTTGAAATAATCTCTGCTAGCCTGTCTACGCTGAAAAAGGGACCAGAAAAGCAGGCAATCTGACTTTAGGATTTAAGAAATCTCTCTCTTTCTCAGTCTCTTTCTCTCTCTCTCTCTCTCTCTCTCTCTCGCTCTCACTCTCTCTCTTTCTCCATCTCGCTGTCGCGCACTCCTTGTCTCTCTCTCTCTCTCTCTCTCTCTCTCTCTCTCTTTCTCTCTCTGTCTCTCTCTCTCGCTCTCTCTTGCTCCCTCTCACACCTATTTGCTAATTCCCGAATTTCCCATGCAAGTACCTCGTTTTCTAGTTTTTTTAAGTTTCGCCAAAACAAAAGCTTTTTTCGGCAAGTACATAGAAGTGCCCGAGCAAGAGTAGTATATTTTTCCAGCCTCTCTCTCTCTTCCTCTCTCTCTCTCTCCACCACGGGGCCCCTACCACCCGAAAAGAGGGCCCTGGCATTGGCCATTGCCTGGGGCCTCCAACTTCCTCTCTTGCTCCCCACTCTCTCTCATTTTTCCGTTTTTCCTCCCCTCTGGCCACTCGGGGCCCTTAATGTCCCTAATCCCCTTAGTTTCCATGACCCCCCTTTTCGCACGGCCTTTGGTTTTCTGCGAAAAATTTACGATTTTTAGGCGTTAGGGTTGTCTTTTTGTGCTCTAGACTTTTGAAACTTCGTT